TAGAGAAACAATAATTTATGGGTTTAATGAAATTGTGATAAAAAATTATGCGTGTGTGTGTGTGAATGTGCGTATAATGTATATAAAATGTATGCGTGTGTGTGTAGAATAGGTCACCCCTTCCTTTCCCGTGTGTGTCCCCCTTCCTTTCCAGTCAAGATAGGGGGAAAAGGGATTGTTAGCAATGGAGTTTGACAGCCCCATTGCTAGCAATATGCCCTAGTCAAACTCCACGTGGTTCCTCGTGGAAACTATCGTGAACAATTCTTGTTGAATTCGTCACGATGGGCTAACTGACCTGCTTCATCCTCACCTATCATACTTCACTGGTGCCCCACCGGTGTATACCGATAGCGCGGATGGGATTACCATTCCATTATCACCTTTTAAAAAAACTGACCTGCCTTTTCATTCTCACCTATCATCCCTCACTGGTGCCCCGCCAGCGTATACTGTTAGTACAGGCGGAGTTACCATTCCATTATCATCCATTAAAAAATCCCTTATTAACCCTTAAAAGCCGGGGGAAAAAGGGATTATTAGCAATGGAGACTGAGAATCCCATTGCTAGCAATATACCCAACCTGGTCGACCTCCTCGCGGTTCCCCCTGGAAACCATCATGGTTAATTCCTCATGAATTCATCATGATGGGCTAACTAGCCTGTTTTCATTCTCATCTATCACCTTTCACTGGTGCTCCGCCAGCGTATCCCGTTAGCGCGGGCGGGGTTACCATACCATTTACACCCATCAAAAAAAAATGTACCTTTTACTGTGATTACTAATAGGGAAAAATAGTAAAAGAAATCAAAACGATATTTATATATATATATTTTGAAAAAAAAAAACATTTGGTAACATGTAAACAGCCAAATATTAAAATAAAATCGATTGTAGGCGCCCAATGCGATTTATAACCGCGGTATCAAATTTGAAACTTCAGGTATTTAAGGGTTAAGTACAGAATACTACTAGAACAAAAACAAAAACAATGTTTAATAAATATACCTATGTATATATTATATATAATACGGATTATACAGTTATTACTTTCATCCGACATGTCATACAAAAAGTAATGCTATCTATCAAGTGGGAGAGAGATAACACTATAAGAGAGTATACGTGCAAAAGGGACGGATAACGGTGTAGTTTCATATTGTCCTCTCATCTCAATATTGAGATTAAAAGTGACGCCTCGCTTGGCGCAAATTATGAGATGGAAGGTCAACAAAAACGACGAAACATAAATGGTATTATAAAAAAAAAAAAATAAAAAATATACTAAACGTCAAATTAAAAGATAATGTAAAACTGCACACTATAAGAAAGTGAACTGGATTCACGGATGCTACTTACTGTATTAAGAAACTAAAATGGAGGTGGGCAGGACATATGGTTAGAATAAATAAAGAAAGGATGTTACAGAGTGGTGTCCGAGACAATATAAGAGAAAAAAAGGGAGACAGCGTCGTAGATGGGAAGACGATATCAAAAAAATAGCGGGACATACCTGAAAAAGACAAGCGCAGAATCGCATTCAGTGGCCAACTCTAGGGTAGGCCTATCCCCTAGATTCAGACCACTTTCCATCAAGTTGTATAAAAAAATGCTGGACAGCAAGACAATCTTCACGTACCGGTGTCAAACAATTAATTAAATTATTATAACTATATTGTGACATAGTTACATCAGGCAGATCAAAGAAGGAGTTGGTGTCGTGTCGTATCAAGAGGTCAAGAGACTCGCTGCAAATCGTAGTGAGTGGCAAGAGCTCCGCCGACAAGAGCGCAGCTCTTAAATGGATAGACAGATAGAACTATATTGTAAGATTGTTAATAAAGGCTATTAAAAAAAAAACGCGAGATGGCGGTAAACTCATCTCTTTATTTTCGCTTCGTTTACACTTAAGTCTAATGAAGGGGAAACCATTGTTAAATAGGAGGAAGGGACATGGGCATACGTAAAGGGGATCCAGAATTGCCTGGTAGCGACCCCACAATGCAAGCGAAGCTTTACAAAGATGTTTCTGAGAGTACATATTATGTGCCTTTTAAATGGATTGTTCGAGAAATATACAAAAAGGAGTGTCTTAATTTGATTTGGAAAACTGTACCAATTTGAAAATCTTTTTTTTTTTATCTGAATGGATATTCTTACAGACTCATATAAGTCGTCAACTGTTCGCTAGTGAACATATTCCTCTCCCATAGGTTGCCATACGGAACAGTCCCGAGTCAAAGGAGTAAGGTCCATTTCTTCCTTGTATTTGGCATTGGGAGATTTTTTTTAATGGGTGGTAATGGTATGGTGACCCGGTCTGCGCTACCGGTATACAATGGCGGGGTACGAGTGATAGATGACTAATAAGGATGAAAGCAGTTCAGTTAGCCCATCTTGACGAATTCAACTAGAATTAGCCACAATGGTTTTCAGGGGGAATCACGTGGAGGTCAACCTGACATTGCTAGTAATGGGACTATTTGACCCCATTACGAACAATCCCTTTCCCCCCGGCATTGGGAGATTTTGCCATTAGTTGCCAACACTCACCTAATAGAAAGTGGTAACCATCATCTATAGATATGCGATATGCCATGGATATCACAGGATAAAATATAACAAAAGGAATAAAAATCCAACCACAACTTTTGCCATCTGTACCCAGTCGGAGCTCACTTCACTGAAACGTAGCACTGCAGCCGACGTTTTTGCACACCGTACCCCTGACACAGACACTTTTTTATGTAAAGACTACAAAGGCTTATTGAAAACTGGATATGACACCCGCATTATGCAACTACCCGTGCGACGGTGGTGCCCTCTCTAAGATCTTATAAGCCACTTCCACGTTGTACATGAACACTTCTAGATTCTGGAATTACACTTTTTCTGAAAAGGAAATGGTTCGTTTTCCCACGTAAAATGCGAAGATAAACGAATTATAGATATCATAGAACCTTAAGACAAAAAAGAATTAATATTCTCACGACTAAATAATCTCTAATGGGGTATTCAGAAGCATTTTTTCCATATTAGATCCATTAATCTTTCTGTTTATGTGTATACTTTAAAGGAGATAGTTCAGCTAAATAGCTAATAATGCTTGACTACAGTGATAGGGTTCTAGGATTGTATCCCAACCCAAATCTCTGATTTCATCTTTGGATCAATTGAAAATAATTGTCACTTGGTACATACTTTGGATAGAACGTTAAGTAGTCATTTGGCCACGTCAGAGTATAACGTCCATGTATAACGAAAATAACCTGGAAATACTTGCAAGCAGAAGCTGTCATTATCATACAATGCTATATCATGGCACTGCTCATGTCTATAGGCGACGGTTACTACTTTCCATCAGGTGGGTCGTCAGCTTTTTTGCCATTCTAAGTTGTATAAAAAAAAATCATTTTTAATATACTTCTACGATACTAAATATGGTAAATTTATGGTAAATGAACTTTCCGATGATTCTTTTGGCTTCATCCAAAACCTATGATCAGCGTAACGTAACGTAACCTTACATGCAAGGCGAAACGCTGCGACGTATTAGTAAACACTGTAGTTATCCTAAAAGAGAGGGGGGAAAAGGATTGTTAGTAATGGAGACTGAGAATCCCAATACACAGCAATTACCCAACCAGGTCGACCTTCTCACGGTTCTCCCTGGAAACTATCATGGTTAATTCCTGATGAATTCATCATGATGGGCTAACTGGCCTGTTTTCATTCTCATCTATCACCCTTCACTGGTGCTCCGCCAGCGTATCCCGTTAGCGCAGGCGGGGTTACCATACCATTTTCACTCATCAAAAAAAAACTATCCTAAAAAGAATTGTCGTAAACGACAAACATAGTTCTTTAAATTTCTGATATATTCGGAAATGTTCACCAGTCTTATCAGCATATCGAGTATTAAGTTTATCACAAAGTACTCTGACTGTCTCGCTAGAAGTTACAGTCGTGAGAATATTTTTTTTGCAGTTACCACATCCAGCAATACAATGTCCATGTAAAGAGAACACCGTGTTCTGCCTCAGAGGGTACCTTTTTCATTCTTGTTTTGTTTACAAGAGTTAAATACAAGTCCACGTTGATTTTCGATTGTGCTATTTCGTCTTTTGAATTCTGTTAGAAAAAATAGATTGGATTAATCCAATCTTTAAATCTAAATAGATTAAGCTTAAATCTATATTTTATAGAATATGCAATATATTAACAAGTTCAGATAATATTTTTAATGGAAAGTGGTAACCGTCGCCTATAGACATGAACAGTACACGAACAGTACTGCTCATGTCTATAGGCGACGGTTACCACTTTCCATCAGGTGGGCCGTCAGTTTGTTTGCCATTCTAAGTTGTAAAAAAAAAAACTCTCCATGCCTTGCCATTTCTGAGGACTCAGGTGTTATTCTTCTATACCCTGTAAATTCACTGCCATATCCCATCCTTCAAACCGAAACACAGCTATGCAAACACAACTACAACTGCTTTACGATAGAAACACGAATGGGACAGAAGTGTCCAAGCAAACTACTTTTGTACAGTCTCACTCTAGTATAATATACTATGTATTATTACGTGTTGCGTATATCAAATTTAGCTAAATTTCTAAATCACTAACCATTATGTTAACAAAACAAAATATTATAAATATTAAAACCCTTAGAGTGAAATTACATGGATTAAACTTAACAGTATAACTGGTTATGTGATTAGAATTATGTTGTTTAATTCTTCTACCATTAGCATGTGTATGGCTGCCAACATTCGAAAATCAACCACAGCTATTGCTACCAGCAGTGCCTAAGCCTTCCATATACTAATATGAAATAAAATGGTAGCATCAATCTCCGAATATTACTTCACTACTGCACCCAAATCATTAAAATATTAATAATATGAGTTACACATTAGTTAACAAAAATATAAAAGTAAATAGTTAAAATACAACTTAACTTTTTTCGGATTTCAGGCAAATAAAATAGAAAAATATTATAATAACTTAATTTACTCTCAATTAAAAAGCATAATTTACAAACAAAAGCAACTATTAGAAATTAAATATCATTTTTTTACAATCCATAATATTTTTTCTTCAAAATGTCAGCTGCTTTTTCTGCAAGCATAATAACAGAGGCGCCTGGATCTCCACTGGTAATAGTTGGCATAGAACTGGCATCGATAACTCTTAGCCTATTTATACCAAGCACATTCAATTCAGCATCCAAAACGGACCCCATAGAACATGTACTGGTATAAAGGAATAAAGATACTAGAGTTTTCGGTATGTAACATCTCCAGTAATCTTTGCTTCTGTACTCATATTGGGAACAACTCTCCAAATGAAGGTCAACTAATTCAGCGCCAACTTTTTTAAACAATGTTGTATTTTCTATACGCATTAAATCTTCCAAATATAACACCATATTTTCCAAATCCTCTTTATCTGAGAAAAATCCCATGTTTATTATCGGCGGGTCATTTGGGTCCGTGCTTCGCAATTTAACAGAGCCACGAGATTTAGGATGAGCAATGTTGGGTATGTTGAACAGAATTTCCCTGCCTTCACCGGCTTCATGTAAAGTATTGCAAATATCATCATTGTAAGCGAACACAAAAGTACAAATTAGTATAAGAGTTGTAGGATCTTGAAAAATGAACCCAAAGGATTGGTAGTCTGGATAGCCTTGAGACTTATTTAAAGCATTATAACCGATTATACCTGGGAGAGGGAACTTGAAAGGGCTGGGCGGTATGGGAATCAATGTAAAACGCTTTTCCATTCTATAGACTATAGGAATAGCTGCATGATCTTGCAAATTGGATCCAACAGGTAGATCTGATATAACGCTTATATCAAATTTCTGTAATTCTTCTTTAGGCCCGATCCCTGAGAGCATCAACAATTTTGGACTGTTAAATGCTCCTGCAGATACAATAACCTCTTTTCTAGCTCTGAATGTTAAAGATTTACCTTCCTTAGTGACAACACTAACCCCTCTAGCATTTTTGTTCTTATCAAATATAATTTTGGTCACCAAAGTTTCTTTTAATAGTGACAAATTCTTGCGTCCTCTTCTAATAGGAAATAAATATGAAATAGCTGTACTTTGTCTAATTCCATTAGCAATTGTGAATAATATTTCCGAGTAACCGAGACTTTCTGTAGTATCTAGAACAGTTTCATATCCAATTTCTTGAAAGGCTTCTAAATATTTATTTGTTATGTCATGAGGTTCCCTTGTGGTTCCAACAGTACCATGGAGTCCATGAAGATCTTTATAATTAGATTTTAAAATCGCTTCATCCTCTAATTTTTCACTTTTCTTAAAATATGGCAAACAATTATTATAGGACCACCTTTGGTCTTTTACCGCTTCGACCCAAAGATCGAAGTCATGGGGAAATCCTCTGCAATAAATCTCATGATTCAACGAAGTAGAACCGCCAAGCATTTTTCCAGAAGTCAGTTCTAAATTCTTATTTTTATGTGTTTGCGCTGTGTAACCATCATTTTCAGATGTATAATTCCAGTCATAGCGTGAGGACGGCAAAAACAGGAATAACGCTGGTAACTAAAAGCATAGAAAAAATTATAGTTCGTTTAAAAGAGTAATATTAATTTCTTAATGACGTGTGATTTCAACATAGAATGGGCCACTCCTTTTTACAATTGGATCTCGTAAGAGGCAACTGAGGGAACCTAATTGTCGAGGGATGGACAGCAACATCCGCCTTTAAATATCGCCAGAGCCTAACTGCGGTTGCTAACTCGCCTGCCAAGCGTTTTATGAGAAGGACACTTTGTACAAAAGTCGATTGCTTGGGTACCTCTGTCCCATTCGTGTTGCAACCTTAAAGCAGTTGTGTTTGCATGACTATGTTTCGGTTTGAAGGCTGGGATATGACATGAATTTACTGGGTACGGAGAAATAACACCTGAGTCCTCAGGAATGGCAACGCATGGGGGGTATCATGGGTGAAACCAGTATACTCTGTTATGTTCATGGTACTGCTCATGTCTATAGGCGACGGTTACCACTTTCCATCAGGTGGACCGTCACCTTGTTTGCCATTCTAAGTTGTATAAAAAAAAATTAATTGTAATAGGCCGACGGTTCTACTTTCATCCTCACCTATCATCCCTCAATGATGCTCCGGCAGCATACACTCATAATGCAGGCGGGGTTAACATTCCATTTTCATCCATAAAAAAACAATCAAATTCTAAGTATAGCTTTATATAGCGTATTATATTCGGTAGCATATATTTTTGATAAGTATAAATATTTACATGGCTGTATTGCTTAAGGTAATTAAACAAGTGTTAAATCTAACACTATGTGATCAATGTTAAGTTTGTTTAATGCAAATAAACTTAACTCCATTTAAAAAAAAATCATGAATTAGTAATAGTTTTTGATGAAATCACCACTTACAACGGACTCTAATGGTGGATCTACGCCAGCTTCTATCCCCAGCACGCTGTACCTCCCACTCTCTGTCAGTCTGTTGACCAGCACGCTGCCCGCTGTCCCCACGCCTACTACGATAAAATCAAACGTGGCTCCATCTGGAAAATGAAATTCATTAATAAATCAACAGCCTTTTGCGGTAAGGTAATCCGTTATTGGTAGCCTGGAGGATAGGTGAAATTTAAATCGCATTACTTAAAGATTTTAAATAATCTATTTTCGCTATTTACTTAGGATTGTAGGGGAATCTACTGCTCATTGTCCATGCTACTGCTCGTGTCTATAGGCGACGGTTACCACTTTCCATCAAGTGAGCCGTCAGCTTGTTTGTCATTCTAAGTTGTATAAAAAACAATTCTGATAAGAAATAAAGAGGACTAAGTGGTCAGAAGGGTAGGTAGGTGGATTTAACTAACTTTCAAAAGGCCGGCAGCACACCTGCAATGCCGCTGGTGTTGTGGGTGATCATGGGCGGCGGTAGTCACTTACCATCAGGTGAGCCGCATGCTCGTTTGCCCCCTGTGTTGTAAAAAAAAAAAAAAAAAAAAAAAAAAAAAAAACTTTTTAAAAATAGCCAGACATTGAGCGCACCTTGTAGAAGTAGGAAGTGAGTTCCACAAACGAACTGCTTGCACGGAAAAGGATTTGGAGTAGAAAGAGGAAGAATGGGTAGGAATTATGAGTTGGAGGCTGTCAGTACAAGAAGGCAGTACAAGAAGTCAGTACAAGAATTGAGAAAGATTCCCAGTTTATCTTTACTGATTAGACGATTTACTCCAAAATGATACCACTTTTATAGTTCCACTAGTGTTTTTTATATTTATTTACATAACAAAATTATAGTTATAAGACATTACACACAGAGATACAAGAATGGTATGCTAAAATTCAAATCATTCTTTTTCTTTTTTTAAATATACTATATGGCTTCTTTCCAGCCATGACCATACCGCCCACCAAGGACTATATGACAATATTGTCCTTAATCCGCCCACCATGAATAAATACTCCATAAAATTAAGATAACTAGAAAATAAACAATGTCCTTGGTAGAAATTTAACAATATTACACTACATATAATAATGAACAAACATAACATAATATTTTGAACTGCTTTAGACCTAAATTATAGTTATCAATTAATGTTAGACGCTCACTCTTAAATAAACAAAATAACTTATTCAGTTAACGGTAGAAAACAAAATTTTGATACAGCCCTTTTTATAATACTGTTTTTGTAACAACACGTGTAACATCGTCCATTCCCGGGTGCTTATCAACTATAATACCATAAAGCCATCATGTTGGCGGAAGATCATTCTCCATCACCAACACTATGTCACCTATTTGTAGTTGTGGGACCTTATGATTACATTTATACCTATGATGAAACCGAAGGAGAAACTTAAGTAAACTTCTATATATTATTAATGAGATTATAGTGTGAAAACTGTGTAAAATAATGCACTGATGACATGTACTATTAATATTAGTACATTGCGACTGTCCATTAACTCTTAGAGTTTCATCTTCATCATTCCACGGATTCGAGAAGGTAAGTACAATTTTCTTTTCTAATCTACTAATAATAACACTACCTATAATAACACTACTGCTAATCTTTCTTTTTTCTTTCAGGTTCTTTAATTCATCAACCAGGTAAGTTTCTTGAAGATTCTTTAGATACTGTAACCATTTATTCAAAAGTTGTATAAGTAATTCTTCATATAAACCTATTTCAGAGAGCCATAACTTTTGAATGAATATTTTTGCTCGAATAACAACAGGTGCTAACCATCCAACTGGATCAAAAATCCGAGAAATTTCGGAAATAACTTTTCTTTTAGTTACAGGTGCCTTCAGTTCAGGAAGTTGTACAACATATTCAAAATGATCACAACTTCGATTCCAGGTAAGTCCTAGAATTTTCATAACACTATTTATTTTTAATTGCACGCTTTCTTGTGAAGCTATATCTTCTTCATTAATTACTTTCAATAATTCCTCACTATTACTACTCCATTTCTGAAGCTCAAATCCTTTTTTAATAACTCTTTTATGTCCTTATAGATTTTAATACCTTCTTCGACTGATTCACAACCTGTTAGTAAATCGTCCATATAAAAATGATTTAGAACTCTTTCAGCAGCAAGAGGATAATTTTTGCCTTCATCATAAACAATTTGATGTAAACACCGAACAGCAAGGTAAGGTGCTGATGCCGTTCCAAATGTTACTCGTAATAGTCTCATATGTTGCAGTTCACTTTCCGGATGATCACGCCATACCAGACGTTGAAAGTTAGTATGTCTTTCTTCAACCTTTATCTGTCTATACATTTTAATTATATCAGACACAAGACATATAGGATAACGACGCCAACGTATTAAGAGATGACGCAAGTCAGCTTGAAGAGTGGGTCCTACTAATAAATCTTGATTTAAAGATACGCCATTTGTACCAGGACAACTTGCATCGAAAACAACTCTTACTTTTGTAGTGGTTCTATCCTCCCGCACCACTGCATGGTGCGGTAAATAGACTGCTTCAGGATCATCTTGTTCAGTTATTGGTACTTTCTCCATGTGTCCTAATTCTAGATATTCTGAAATGACTTCAGCGTATTTAATTTTTAAATTAGGATCCATTGATAATCTTTTTTCTAGTTGCAGAAATCTTTTAGTTGCAATAGTTTTAGAATTGCCATATTTACAACTGGGATCATCACTACGGAATGCAAGATTAACTATATATCTCCCTGAACTGTCCCGCTTCGTAGTATTTGTAAATATTTCTTCACATTTCTTTTCTTCCTCAGATAAATGTTTTTTAATATCTATATTGTTTTCAGCTTCCAATTCCCAAAATTTCCTTAATAAGTCATCTTCACTTACATGAGAAATATGCATACTAATCAGTGGCCTTTGTATATTATTTGTTTCATCTAAATTAACAGGGCCAGAAATAATCCAACCAAGCGTTGTTCGCTGAGCTATAGGTACACCTGGTGGACCTTTGATTACACCATCTAACAAGATCTGACTGTAAACATTAGCTCCGAGAAGAATATCGATTTTGTTTGGTGTATGAAATGATGGATCTGCCAGTTTGATATTTGAAAACTCCGACCACAGTTCTACAATAATTTGCCTCTCAGGGAGGATTGAAGTGAGTTTACTCAATACAAAAGCTTGAACCTTAAACGTAAAATTGGGATCATGAAGTGATTGTAATGAAACCGATACCATAGACTTAGAGGTCAATGAATGACCCTGATCACTTCCTAATCCTGTAATAACACTTTTGTGTGATATCTTCTTTAAGGTCAGCAATTGAACAGCAGATTCAGTAATAAAACTAGCTTGAGAACCTGGATCTATTAAACATCTCAGTGTGATACCATTACCTGATTTCGATTGTGCGCTAACTAATGCTGTTGCAAGTAAGACTTGACAGTTTGAGGTCGAAACACAGGCTGTGACACTAGTGGATTGATCTACAGACGATGATGTTGTTGCATGTGCAACGACATCTTGTTCAACCGATTGATTTACGATACCTGTAGTGTCGGTTGAATTGATATTGGTAACATTTTTTAAATGGAGTAGAGAATGATGCTTCCGTCTGCATAAACGGCAACGAGAGATTTGACGACAAGCATATACAGAGTGCCCTGAACATAAACAGTTAAAGCACAAACCCCTGGATTGGACGAATTCGCGTCTAGTGTTAGTTTCAGTTTTAGAAAACTTTTTACAATTTGCTAAACGATGACTTTCAGAACAGTAAGGACATATAAAATTGGCTGTGTGATATACTTTAGAACTATTATTAATAACATTACTTTTATGCACTACATTAGACTTATACAATTTTGTATCAATACATTCTAACGCTCTAAATCTAGTTTCTAGAAAGTCTTGGAACTGCTTCAAGGTAGGCAACTCATCTGAGAACTCGCTGATTTTAAGTTCCCATTGCTTGCGAGACTCCATATCTAATTTTTGACTTATAATGTAAATAACAAGCACGTCCCAGGTACTGATGTCTATTCCTAAATTGTTAAGCCCATGAAGACATTCATTAGTAGTATCTAGCAACTCCTTTAGTGTACTAGCTGATTCAGTACTGATGTTTTTTTGATTCATAAACCTTTTCAGAATACAGTTTGAAAGATATTTTTTATTATTATATCTTTTCTCCAATTGTTCCCAACAAATAGTATAATTATTATGAGTAATCGGTACATGACGTAGTAATTGCTCCGCTTCCCCAACTAATAATCCTTTCAAGTAATGTAGTTTTTGTACGTCATCTAAATGTTTATTATTGTGTACCAATGATACGAACAGATCTCTAAAACTAATCCATTCTGAATATTTGCCTGAGAACGGAGATATAGATATCTTGGGTAGCTTTAAATTGCAATTAAGATCTTTATTACTATTGTTTTGTTCGGAACAACTCGCACTTTTAGTACTAGACTGCCTTAAACTAGTCAACGCTTCCTTCAGTAGAAATTTGTATTCTATATATAACTCTTCAGTAGAATCATAGACGTTATTACATACGTAGGAACTAGCATTCAAATCTTTGTAGTTTGTATTTTGAATGAGTTTTGTATGTGTCGAACTAAACTGACGCCATAATTCTTCTAAAGCTTCCAATCTAGTACTAATATAATCTATAGAACGAAGTCGCTCCTTGGGTGCCTTTTTGAAGTTAGATTTTGCTCTACTAATTCTTTCACTTAAATCAAGCTGTACTTTTATATATGAATCCATTGTATAAATTTAATAATAAAGTTTCAATAATATCCAAAGTTTTTACAAGTAAATATTTATATGAAATGTTTAGAGTAAATTCCTTAGTCTTCTGTAATTAGATAAATAAAATGTACTCACAGTTCACCAGCACTTATCACTTACAATACTATGTTCAGTTCTGCTTTGATGTCCTTACGGCTGCAATATGACGATACAATGTTCAACAACAACAATTGACGCTCGCCGACTTCGTACAAAAAAGCAGTTTAAATTTGTCGTTAATCCTCGATACTCCGACTCGATGGACCAAAAATATACGATTTACTCCAAAATGATACCACTTTTATAGTTCCACTAGTGTTTTTTATATTTATTTACATAACAAAATTATAGTTATAAGACATTACACACAGAGATACAAGAATGGTATGCTAAAATTCAAATCATTCTTTTTCTTTTTTTAAATATACTATATGGCTTCTTTCCAGCCATGACCACTGATCTTAGCGCTTTGACGCCTTAACCAGTCTCTATGAAATTTGGTATACAAGTTTTATATAGAATAAAGATAGTGACAGGCTACTTTTTAAACATATTCGTGTCACGTGGTAGGCATGAGGAGTAAGGTGAGTAGGATAAAAATAAAAATGAAGGTACAAACCTCTAACTGGTGTCTCGCTTGGCCACAAGTGGGATGTTATACTAAGGGTAACTGCCAACCCCAGAAGTGCCAACTGAATTGTCCTGATCAAAATCACCGCTAAGGTTGCGTCCATGATCCTCGTTTTGCGGAGAACACCTGTTTTTAGTTAGTAAAAAAATCTAGTCTAGAGGGACAACTTATATAGAAGACGTCTACATTGGTCTCTCATGTCTCATCCATGTTTACTCCGTGAAACAGCTGTTCTGACTCGACTATATATCGATTTTAAATTTGGAATATGACATTGAAATTAGAGAGTACGCGAACATTACGTAGTAACAACGTAACAACGATTGAGTACGCAAGAAGGGTACAATTGGCATGATGACGATGATCTGTGATGCCCATAATGCCATATCCCATCCGTTATAGGACATTACTTAAAATACAAATTATTAAAGATTCTATTTTAGGAGTTTTTCGGTATTTAAGATGTATAATTCTAACGAAGTTTCTCGAACGTTGATTATCTTAAACTGAATAAATCATCATCATATGAACAATTTTTTTTATTAAACTTAGAACGGCAAACAAGCTGACGGCCCACCTGATGGAAAGTGGTAACCGTCGCCTATAGACATGAGCAGTACCGTGGACATAACAGAGTGTACTGTTTCGCCCATGATACCCCCAATGCGTTGCCATTCCTGAGTATTCAGGTGTTTTTCCTCTGTACCCTGTTAATCCACTGCCATATCCCTCCATTCAAACCGAAACAAAGCCATGCAAACTCAACTGCTTCACGGTAGAAACTCGAAAGGGACAGAGGTGCCCAAACAAACGACTTTTGTACAAAGTCTCCCTCTGCTAGACGTAAGACTCCTCCATATGGGGGATTTGCCAGTAGTTGCCACGCTTGGCCGGCGCATTGGCAACCGCAGTTAGACTTTGGTGATGTTTTAAGAGGGACGCTGCTTCCCATTCGTCGACTATTAAATTTCCTCAGTATATATAAATGTTACAGAGAAGTAAGTATTGACAATAGAAAGATATTGAAGCTGTATCCTCTCATCTTAATGACAATTAATTAACCCGCCACAAAGTAAAGTTTCATCTCAACCATCTGGACGAGTGGCGGTCCTCCACCGTGCGTTTTTCAAGGCACTTTCTTCCACGCACAACCACTCTTTAGAATCAACTTTCAACAGTATTTCCGAACCAATACAACAACATAACCTTCAAGAAAAGAGCATATTCCTTTTTAAAAGGCCGGCAGCACACACACCCGCCCATGACCACCCGCAACACCAAAGGCATTGCGTCTTTGGTGTTGCGGGTGGTCATGGGCGGCGATAATCATTTACCATCAGGTGAGCCGCAGACTAATTTAGCCCATGTTTTTTAAAAAAAATGCATAAAATAACAAAAGTAACATACCAGTAGCTCCTCAGATCCTCAGCAGATACCTCCTACCTTTAAGTCTGCGAGTAAGTGAAATTATCGCATACAGTCCATATGCCTGTAAAATTAATAAATTCTTTTTTAATTCTACCTATTAAATTTAAATGTGCACTATATGTATATTATATACCTACTTTCAATCAAAATGACGATTATTCGGTAATAATAATAACCTATTATATATATTTTGGACAATGCAAAGATAAGCCATATTACAGTTCGGCACACAAGAAAAACAAACCAGATATAATGGAAATAGATGGCGTAATTTTTACAACAGACTTCAGTAATAAGAATATTCTCAATTCGACTTTTTTTTAATAGTTGCAAACTTCTTATTACTTTTATAGGTTTATTTTATTCACTTTTATAACATTTTTTTTTTGCTTTTTTTGTTTTTATAATTGTAATATATAATTAATAGTCTGTCTTCTGCAGTTTTCTTCCTTACACTTATTTTCCTTTAAATAAATTGTTTTATTATACTAAATACATCAATGTACAGCCCATTATATCGTCCACATTAATATGGTCTCTATTCTAAAACCTATTATTACTAAATATATATAATATATAATAAATTCTATTTTTTTTTTTATTTTGTTTCCATTTCCCCTTATACATAGAGAAGGCAAAAGGACTAAGCCTATACAGCCATTGTCTTCAGTTTATATTTGGTAATAACAGTTATATTTTTTTTTAATTGTACGTATGACTACAACATGATACGGACATGACAATGAAAATGTCATCTAAGACAGTGACATGTGAGGTTGACAGATAGGTATTTAAGATGGCTTCAGAAATGAGAGTAAACCACATTTATTATTTTTCGTACAACTTATTTTTTTTTTATACAACTTAGAATGGCAAACAAGGTGACGGCCCACCTGATGGAAAGTGGTAACCATCGCCTATAGACATGAGCAGTACCATGGACATAACAGAGTATACTGATTCGCCCATGATACCCCCCATTGCGTTGCCATTCCTGAGGACTCAGGTGTTATTCCTCTGTACTCAGTAAATTCACGCCATATCCCACCCTTCAAACCGAAACACAGCCATGCAAACACAACTGCTTCACGGTAGAAACACGAATGGGACAGAGGTACCCAAGCAATCGACTTTTGTACAAAGTCTCCCTCTGGTAAACAAGCTGTCTGACCAAATGATAGCAAATTTACTAGTAGTTTGACATCCACGTGGTTCCACCTATAAACCATCCTGATTAATTCTTGTGAAACTCATCAAGATGGGCTCACTGACTTGCTTTCATCTCTCACTGGTGCCCCGCCAGTGTATACTGATAACGCAGGCGGGAATAACATTCTATTATCACCCATTATAAAAAAAAAAACAAAATGAAGACAAATAATAACTGTTCACCGATTTTAACAAGTGATTGTGTTGCTGGCCTTGAAACCTGAAGTCTTACTAGCTTAGTTGGAGAAAAAACACTTGCGATATCTATTTAAAATATAAATCTATGTCACAGACATCAGCTGGGTACACAGCCAGAACACGTAATATGAAATTTTGAGGAGACTCAGTCGATTCATAAAATATTAATAATTATTATAAACTTAACTAACCTTGCCTACCTGTTAAAACCGGTATTGTTTTTTAGCTAATTCTTTATCCTAAATGCAAAACAATACATGTTTTCAAAACGGATTACAATCTCTAACATGATAGAAGAAACAACACACATTTGTTCTGGTTTCATACAAAAGCTACTGCACCAAATTTGATGCGGTTTTCACAATTATGTTTCTGAGGGGTGATTTTAAAATTTGGAATGTTTTTTTAAATCTACTGCCAATATCCACGAGTTTGAAGTTACGGGCAAAAACTAGTTCAATATTAAAAAAATAATCTTATTTCATATAAGTAAATTGTTACTAGAGGACATGTTTTGTACATGGAAGATATTTGAGAAAAAAGCATATGAGGGGTCTCGAAGGACCAATAGATACTAAAGCAACATTTTATTAGAAGTTAGGTTTATCTATTTGTCTGTCTGTCTATCTGTCTATGAAGAATAAAATGTATATAATTAAATATATGTATATACATAGGTATAATTATAGCCCACTAGTACATAAACGATATATCTCTTTTAGAAAAAACACTATATCCTGAAGAGTTAAAAAAAAAACACGCTACAAAAAACATCTTGACATTCCTATCATTGATAGGGATAGGAATTAGCAGCGAACTTTAAAAAAGCGCGACCACAAAAGATCATAGAAAGGTCGCAGTGTCACAGGTTTTTCTGCCAATAAAAAGCCCATCTCCCAATAATAGTATGGAATATTTAAATTACTGTGAACATCCACCGTATCTTCGTCGAAAATAACGTTTGAATTTGTCGTCACCTTGTTTTATATATCCAGTAAATAATATTAAAAAAAAAAATAGATTAAAATAAATACTTACGTCGTCTATTTGCTTCTGATCTATGTCTCTGATTTAAAAATAATAAATAATAATATATTTGTATCTTAATTTAACTGAAATAAAATATCTTTAACATACACATATGCACGTCTGCTTTGTTTACTTCATATATTATGTACCGAGAAAAAATAAATAAAAGAAAACAAAATAAAAAAAGCAAATAAATACATTAAAATACTAAAGAATTAATAATTACATTAAATAAGTTATATAGTAAACAAATAATACAATAGTTTATTTACTCGTCTCTATAAATAAATAAATAAATAAAACAAAGGTTGTATTTATTAAAATAAAATAAAAAAAGACGTGTATAGTGTATAAAAATCGACAATAAAATTCACTCTACATTTGACGTTCTGTTTTATATGAACGGTCGTTTGATAAAAACGAAATAATAGACTCTAGACTACGAACTAATTAAGGTGTATAGTGTAAATGTGTTTTAGAAGCTACCATTACGACTTGTTAACTACCTAGATACATAATAATAGATATATATATAAATATTTCCTAAAACATGCTTGGAAATGTAAATATTTTGACAGTCTTCTTCGAGATAAATCAAAATTGCACATACTGGCCAGATACATGCGGCCAGCGGCCAGCAAAAGTTGTATGAAAATTGACAAAAAAAAAACCAAGGAACATTATGGCGCGTGAAAAATTATTATTGTTCGTTATTCGTCATTGAACTTAAAAAGTAAAATTGTGTTTTTGATTTCCGCGCATTGTTTGAGAAAAGTACCAGCCTTGGCCACAATTAGGCATTGATAGACTCACGTATGTGTGCCTCGGCTACACCTCGGCCCATATTTGCGCGTTCGTTTATTAATGCCTCAGTTGCTGGCCGCTGCAGTAATGTACTATACCTTTAGGTCTGTTGATAGACCTTGCAAAAGTTATTTTTTTAATGGATGATAATGGAACGGTAACCCCGCCTGCGCTAACGGTATACGCTGGCGGGGCACCAGTGAGCATCCCTCACATAGTTGAAAATAAAAAGACCAATTAGCCCATCGTGATGAATACACTTGGAATTCAGCACGATGGTTTCCAGGGGGGACCACATGGAAGTCGACCTGCCCGGGCATATTGCTAGCAATGGGACTGCTAGTCTGCATCACTAACAATCCCTTCCTCCCCTCATGCAACTAGTAATTATATAATTGCGAAAATTTCTTAATATTTTCTAATATAATTGTAGTCTACTTTTGTTATAATCTTTATTGTTTACCAAAAAATCGACTCCCAAATTTCCTGTCAAATTTTTCTTCGCTAAATCTTTTATGACGATGCAAGACTCCATTTCTAGCGATATACCCTATCAGGAAACCCTCAAAATCAACTGTCAAAGTCGATGTGATTATTTCATAGCAAATTCGCCATAACCGTGTGACCATCCTCTTCCATTATCCATCCATAGAATAGATCATCCCTTCCTTTCCCGTGGGTGTTGTAAGAGGCGATTAAGGAAAGACGAAAGATGGGCAGCAGCGTCTTTCTTTAAATATCAGTAAAGCCTAACTGCGGTTGCCAACCCGCCTGCCAAGCGTGGCAACTGCTGGCAAAACCTGTATGGGGGAGGCCTATGTTCAGCAGTGGACAACTAACAGCCAATACGATAATCTGCCATTGCGTGTTTGAAACGACTACCAAACCTTTTTTTTTAAATCAATTAGCATACAGCTCACCTGATGGTAAGTGAGTACCGCCGCCCATGATCACCCGCAACACCAGAGGCATTGCAGGTGTGCTGCCGGCCTTTTAAAAAGGAATATGCTCTATTCTTGAAGGTTATGTTGTCGTATCGGTTCGGAAATACTGCTGCTGGAAGTTGATTCCAAAGAGTGGTTATGCGTGGTAGAAAGTGCCTTGAAAAACGCACGGTGGAAGACCGCCATTCGTCCAGATGATTGGGATGAAACTTTAGTTTATGGCGGGTGCTGGACAGATTCCTAATTTTAAGTTTAGTGTGTTTAGAAAAGTGAGTTTTTTTTTTTAATGGATGACAATGGAGTGGTAACCCCCTCCCCCGCGCGCTAACGGTATACGCTGGCGCTGGCGGGGCACCAGTAAGTGATGATAGGTGACGATGAAAACGCAGGTCAGTTAGCCCATCGCGATGAATATACTAGGAATTCAGGACGATGGTTTCCAGGGGGAGCCACGTGGTGGTCAACTTAACAGGGTATATTGTTAACAGTGGGTGTGATAATCCGCAATACTAACAATCCCTTCCCCCCTCGTAAAGTGAGCTGTAATACCAAAGGATTAGAACTACAATGTAAAATTAAAATAAAAATACCTATTAATTCTATAAATGTGTTGGTCTGATAACACAACAGCCTTAGTGACGTAGTATTTTGGATTAGAAACATTCCGTAGGCATATCAGTGAACTGTGTCAGAATGTAAATAGTCATTAATGACTTTAAATTTAAGTCTGTAAATAGATAGATGCTCTTTACTGTTTCCTCCAATAGATTACGATAGTAAATTTATTATACGTACGAATTTAGTAGTTAAGGGATGTAAAATGTAAGTAACGTCCTTCTTGAAACACCATCAAAGCCTAACCGGTCGCAAAAGCTGCCTAGCGTGGCAACTACTGACAAAACCTCCCAAGGGGGAGGGATTGTTAGCAATAGAGTTTCATAGCTCCGTTGCTAGCAATATGCCTTATTAGGTCGACCTTCAAGTGGTTACCCCTGGAAACCATCGTGAACAATTCTTGTTGAATTCGTCACGACGGGCTAACCGACCTACTTCATCCTCACCTATCATCCTTCAGTGATGCCCTGCCGGTGTATACCGATAGTGCGGGTAGGGTTACCTTTTCATTATCTTCCATTAAAAAAAAAACCCCAAGGGGGAGACTTCAGCAGTGGACCGTTAAAAGCTGATATGATAATCCCTGTCAGCTAATGTGGAATGTTGACCACCACGCCGTCAGTTGTTGAAAGCGTGCGTGCGTGCGTGCGTGCGTGGTTTGAGTGAGTGAGTGAGTGAGTGAGTGTGTGTGTGTGTGTGTACGTGGATGTCTATACAAAAAAAGTACAACCGAATTGATAACCTGCTTCTTTTTGAAGTCAATTGAAAAGTGTCCTATGTCAATCCAATATGCTTTTGTACCAAATTTCAATCAAATCCGTCCAGACATTTAATTCTAAATGAGAAACAAACATCCAAAGATGATTCACAGAACATCCAGACCCGACTCTATTCAGAAAATTTCGTGTTCTATTGTCCATAACGGGAATTAAACCCGAGACCCCATTACACATAGAAACATAACCGCTACTACGTGGGGGCAAAGAGATTGTTAGTAATGGAGACTAAAAATCCCATTGCTAGCAATATACTTAACCAGGTCGTCCTCCTCGCGGTTCTCCCTGGAAACTATCATGGTTAATTCCTGTTGAATTCATCATGATGAGCTAACTGGCCTGTTTTCATTCTCATCTATCACCCTTTACTGGTGCTCCGCTAGCGTATCCCGTTAGCGAAGGCGGGGTTACCATACCATTTTCATCCACTAAAAAAAATCCGTAAATACGTTATGAAGGTCTTCTTATGTAACATGTAAATAAAGTATGAATATAATTATAAAGTAATTTACACTTTAATTACAAATAGTATATAAATTGTTATTTTAATGTAAAAATACAGAGCAAAAGCTGTGACAACATATTTAATTTTACATGAAGGTGACTCCGTTGCTGATGGAACGGTTATCTCCAAGTCATGGCAAATAGACTGAATTCGAACGGAAGTTGTTTTTTATCTTAAAAAAGAAATTAAAAATAAATGTGATAAAATTGTCAATTCGTAGCAGCCTAATGTATAGAAAATGTTATACGGCCGTATAACCCTACCAAATTCAGATACAACCTGCTTGCATACTTTCAACATAAACTGTGTCGAATATATAATCTAGTAATGTAAAATTTGTTACTGACAAATAATTGACATATCAAACATTTTTTATACACTAAACTGCTATGAATTAAGAAAAATAGCAACTGATGGTGTATCTGTCGTCCTCTTTTTACTAATTATATTTGCATAAGAAGAAAGGAGGCCACCATATGATTTACAGTTTTTATTTTATCATTCCTTCTATTTAATTCCTTGTTCTTAAATTACTACTAACGAGTCGTTAAATGACTAGTACTTATTTTGTATATACATTAATTACTATGAAAATAAATTGATAATATTTAAAAAATTTATAAAATTATTAAACACGAAAATAGAATATTTTTAAGGTAATTTAAATAAATTAATTGATATATTCTTTTAATATATTCTTAATAAACAGTGTTTTGATTCCGGTAGGCAAAAGAATCACTGACAAAATGGCGGTTCATATTAGACTCTAAAGTAACATAATCTTACACATGTTCATTAAATTCCACTGAATTAGACTAAGTCTTCGCAGTATAGTAATGAAAATAAAAAATTAAATTACGCCCAATTAACCTCAAAAACGTAAATAGCCATTTGAGGTTAATTAGTCTAATTAAGAAATCAAACTACCTTATTTATTTAAAAACATTTTTTAGACAAAATTGATGGAATGGTAACCCCGCCTGCGTTGTGAGTACACGCTGGCTGGCCACCAGTTTTTGTTTTTAAGGATGATAATGAAATATTAACCCCTCCTACGCTATCGATATACGCTGGCAGGAGACCAGTGAGGAATGATAGATGACAATGAAAAGGCAGGTCAGTTAGCCCATCGTGATGAATACACTTGGAATTCAGCATGATAGTTTCCAGGGGGAATCACGTGGAGGTCGACGTGACAGGGTATATTGCTAACAATGGGACTGGTAGTCCGCATTACTAGCAATCCCTTCCTTCCCCACCCCTACACGGGCGGGCTACTAGTTAAGGACGATAGGTAAGGACGAATGTAGGTCCGTTAGCCCATCTTAATGAATTCACTGACAATTAATCACAACGGTTTCCAGCAAAAATTGTGTATTTTTGTTTCTCATAATATAGAGTATCCATATTTGTAGATCAGGCGATGGAATTTAAAAAGCACCTTTTTTACTGTTGATTAAAAATACTAAACAGCCTCTGAGTAATTTTATCAAATGCCAAAGTAGAAAGGTCAGATCAAGGATATTCTGAATATTTACAGGCGCTGTAAAAATAACATAATTGTCTCTTTATAAATAACGAGCGACCCGCCCCAGCTTCGCACGGGTGCAATGCAGCACCGCTATGTCCCTACATTTTAAATCTATAATATCTTCGGAGATATTCATTTAAATTACATGCTGTAAAGGGCCATATTGATCTATATTAAATGGACAATGTATTTAAGGTACTTAATTACATTGATAATACATTGATGATTAATAAAAATTAATGCCGTATTGCTTAAAATCTTGCTTCGTAAATAAGCCATTTTTCCCCGTAAAATATAAAGGATAAAAATGCTTATTGTGGGTTAACCTTAAGAGATAAACATATACCATCGCGGACTTTTTTGTTGACCTTTTTAAGTTGTACAATATTGTAGTACATTATTTTGATTTATCTCGTGGGGTTCAGCCAGCGTTCGCAATGGAAACGTTAAAAAATGTGTTTATTTACGACATCACATTGGAAACCACTAAATTTATCAGTGTTTCTCTACAATATTATGCATGTATTATACATACACCAGAGGGAGACTTTGTAAAAAAGTCGGTTGGGCGACGGTTACCACTTTCCATCAGGTGGGCCGTCAGCGTTTTTTTTTTTACAAAACAGGGGGCAAACGAGCATGCGGCTCACCTGATGGTAAGTGACTACCGCCGCCCATGATCACCCACAACACCAGCGGCATTGCAGATGTGCTGCCGGCCTTTTAAAAAGGAATATACTCTTTTCTTGAAGGTTATGTTGTCGTATCGGTTCGGAAATACTGCTGCTGGAAGTTGATTCCAAAGAATGGTTGTGCGTGGAAGAAAGTGCCTTGAAAAACTTACAATCCGCCATAAACTAAAATTTCATCCCAACCATCTGGACGAGTGGCGGTCCTCCACCGTGCGTTTTTCAAGGCACTTTCTTCCACGCACGACCACTCTTTGGAATCAACTTCCAGCGGCAGTATTTCCGAATCGATACGACAACATAACCTTCAAGAAAAGAGCATATTCCTTTCTAAAATGCCGGCAGCACACCTGCAATGCCGTTGGTGTTGTGGGTGATCATGGGCGGCGGTAGTCACTTACCATCAGGTGAACCGCATGCTCGTTTGCCCCCTGTAAAAAAAAACTCAAGTTATAGAATGATCTTTTTTCCTAGAGACTACAACATGGGGTTCTTCAAAAAAGGCGTATTAAAATTTCTTAAGTATCGGAAACACACGCGTGACACCCGTGGTGTTGAAGCCGTCCATAGGCTGCAGTAACCGTTTACCACCAGACGAGCCGTATGCTTGTTTGCCGCCATAGTAGTATAAAAAATAAGTATGGAATACTCAAACTTTTTATCGTTTATCGACCTATGTTCCTTTCATTACATTGATAAAATATCCCTTAGAATGAGTCTGATTATTTCGGTTTCACACTGTATTAAAAACAATTCCTCCTCCCTCCGTTTTTATAGTCGCAAACGTCAATTTACTACCCTTGTTATCCAGTATCAGACTCAAGGGGCGGTGCCCGGGGGCACCGAGATCCAAGAGGGGCGCCAAAGTACTAAAGGAGCGCTTAGTAATGTTATAAGACGTTAAAGAAACTCAGACCCAGTGTGAGTGCCATCGAATTCGAGAGGACATTTTTAAAACCCCATATAGATTTCACCATAGGGAGACTTTATACAAAAATCGATTGCTTAGGTACCACTTTCCCATTCGTGAAACAGCTGTGTTTGCACGGCTGTGATTCGGTTTGAAGGGATATGGCGAGAATTTACTGGGTACAGAGGAATAACACCTGAATCCTCAAGAATGGCAACGCATGGGGGGTATCATGGGCGAAACAATATACTCTGTTAAGTCCACAGTACTGCTCATGTCTATAGGTGGATGGTTTAATGGCAAACAAGCTGACGGTCCATCAGGTGGACCGTCAGCTTGTTTGCCATTCTAAGTTGTATAAAAAAAAAGATACCGGATCAAGTGGGCCCTGTTTGGTTTTCAGGCAGGAGGGGCCCGTTTAAAACCCATGACGTCCCTGGTGCTACATGTCACTTTAAAAATTAAAATTGTATCTTTTTATTTCTTGCAGTTGATAAAGAATGTTAAACGTACCCCAGTATATAATTTTATCAATCCAAAGTCAAGACGCACGGCACGGAAAATATTCGGAATCGACATCACAGGCACGGTAAATACAAATCTTTTAATAAATAATGCTTATTTCATATTCGTACCTCCATAATTCAACTTTCCAACTTAATATTTCTCTATATGAATATAGGCTAAGATCCCACCGCTAATTTCGGCAGGTATAAGACTTTTTAATAAAACTTGCATGAGTGAAAATATGATTAATGTTTTTTTTTTTTTTATGTGGTCGTGTAGAAAAAGTAATAAGCGATAAAAATGGCAAACAAGCATATAGTCCATCTCATAGTAAACGATCACTGTAGCCGATGCACCGGCGGAGTTGTCACGTGTGCCTAGCCCACCCCATCATCCATTTAGTGTAAGTTTTATCCTAACTTATCAAAAACTCGGTTTCAATGAAATTTTTAAAATATAATAGTAATTTAAATAACATTAAATAATTGTATATTTGCATGCCTACATCGCTTAAGGCAATTAAACGGGTGCTAAACACGTGTTTAATTGCCTTAAGTTTTGTTTAACTACGTGCTTTTTGTTAATAATTTTAACTATTTAGTGCAAATAAATTCGTATCATTTCATTTCGATACTTAAAGGATAATTGAGAGAAGACAACTTTCGTTGTACTATTTTTTTGCTCATCTTTTATTTAAAATGAATTTCATTAAAAAGTCTTATGGCTGGAGAAATCATCAGCGAGATCTTAAACTATTACAAAACACACATTCTATGGCTTGTCGGGAATATTTCAACAAGTAAGAAGTTAGAAAAGTTTGGGCACGTGTAACGACGTCTCGACGTTTGATGAAATTGTGTGTCGAATATTTTGTTTTTTCCCCATAAACGAAGTAACGGATTCTATTCTCTTTTTTTATACTACGAAGGTGGCAAACAAGCGTACAACCCGTCTGATGATCAACGGTCACTGTGGCCTATGGACTATAACAAAAGGATAGTCACATGGTAAATTGGTAACTTGGTATGATTGATGGGATACCATCAGCCTCCCGTTGTTGGTCCTTCTAAGACCATGACGCTGCTCCTGTATACAGGCTGAGCAACGAGATATAACTATATGTAAAATAATCACAAATTTAAACCAATTAGGTATACCAGTAAGTAGCTACTTATAAGTATACTTATAGGTACTATCTATAAAATAATAGATTTCGAATTACATCCCTTTGTGCATGCACTAACAGCCAATTGGGTTGGTTTGTTCAAAAGGCAAAATCTATTGATTCCCATTTTGGGGTACCGTTGTGAACGGAACGCGTAGTAATTTCGGTGGCAGCCCATCCATTATTATCTGCTCGATCCATTCCACCCATAATTTACAATAATTTAGTCCAATTGAAATGGAGGGCCACGGAATGAAAACTAATATTTTGCGAGGGATTTTTTTTTTTCGTATAATACTCCTACAACCAACAATTTTGTTTTGATATCTCACCAAGCACCATTTGCGCGTCGTTTAATAAAATAACAGGATAATATTTCCTTGTTCTACATATTTAATAAGTTCGCTTTTAGATATTAATTTATTTACATTTTGTTCAAAATATATATTTTTTACCAGAGAGAGAGACTTTGTACAAAAGACGTTTACTTAGGCACCTCTGTTCCATTCGTGTTTCTACCGTGAAGCAGTTGTGTTTGCATGGCTGTGTTTCGGTTTGAAGGGTGGGATATGGCAGTGAATTTACAGGGTACAGAGGAATAACACCTAAGTCCTCAGGAATGGCAACGCATAGGGAGTATCATCATATATATATATATATATATATATATATATATATATATATATATATATATATATATATATATGTGTGTGTGTATGTATATATATATGTATATTTTTTATAGGTGATAATGAAATGGTAACCCCGCCTGCGCTAACGGTATATGCTGGCAGGGCACCAGTGAATCAGGTACCATCAGGTGAGCCGCATTCTCGTTTGCCCCCTGTTGTAAAAAAAAAATATTTCTTATCAGTTCTTCCTCCATCCTGGAATCCATTACCTTGGAGATCATCATGGTTAGTTATTGTCACGATGATCAAATGACCTCCTTCATTCCCACTTATTATATTTCACTATAATTATTATTTCATTTCCACCCATTAAGGATACACGAGTGGAACAAAAGTACCCAAGCAAACGACTTTTGTAGAAAACTTTCCTTTTATTACATATCTGTATAGGGAATTTTTTTTTTATACAACTTAGAATGGCAAACAAGCTGACGGCCCACCTGATGGAAAGTGATAACCGTCGCCTATACACATGAGCAGTACCATGGATATAACAGAGTATACTGTTTCGTCCATGATACCCCCCATGCGTTGCCATTCCTGAGGACTCAGGTGTTATTCCTTTGTACCTAGTAAATTCACGTCATATCCCACCCTTCAAACCGAAACACAGCCATGCAAACACAACTGCTTCACGGTTGAAACACAAATGGGACAGAGGTACCCAAGCAATCGACTTTTGTACGGTCTCTCTCTGGTAATTATACATAGAATGCTCATGAATACAAAATTCTTGCATAGTATGCGATAATGATGCTATATTTTCTGAACCAGAAACTGTACCCTAATACCTACCTAATGCGTAATTTACGCTAAATGGAAAAAAGTTTACATATCTAATATTTAGCTGCATTTGCATAATTCCTAATCCTAAACCTTATCCGCAAAGGTATTGTGAATGTCCAATTGACATCTGACAGATAAGTGTTCTGAAGTCGAAATTGACGTTTTACTACATCAATGTCAAACAAATTAAACAGAAATTTAATTGGAAAGTTTACGGAACAAATATTGTAAATAGTGAAATAAAAGTTTTTACAATATTTATACAGTTTAAAATACTCACTAATTTGAAATGTATATCTGTTTCTAAGGTTTAATGTAGTTATTTTACATACATCTCTAAACGTTAAAAATCTTGTAAAAGTTTATGCAAAAGCGAATTAACGGACCATAGGATAAAGTTTTCGATAATGCAAGATTCGTCAATTAGTAACATACAAAAAAATCCCCTTAAGTTGTACATACAAGATATATTTCGTGCTAATTCCACAGACAATAAATACATATATAAATTATTTGGATTGCCATTCAAAAATGTAATGATACATGGTGTACTTACTGCTGTTTATAATACTACAAAAATTACTACAAATTTGGAATTAAGTGATGCTACTGGCACCGTACAAATTTATTATGATAGCACCAAAAATAATAACAGTATTTCATCTACTAGTTGGAGAGATTTAACAAATAATTATATTGATGCTTCTAAATTTGGGGACCCTAATATACTCATAATGTCAGAGATGATGGATAGAATAAAAAACAAAATGAACTGTGTGGTTTTTGAAGAAGGCTGCTTCATGAGTGTTGTAGGAGACATTTTTGTGGACAGTTCTAGGGGTGTCCGAATGATATCAGCGTATGAATGTAATGTAACCTCGGCTGCATATGACGTAGTGTGGATGGAAGAACTTAGGTACTTGTATGACAAATTCTATATAAATAATCCATCCTGTTAAGTGTAAATGAAACAGATAGTTTTTAGTTAAAACTGATTTGTCCATAAGAAATAAATTTTATTTAAATAAAATTATTTATGTTGAATTTTATTTAATTTTTTTTTAATTATACAGATCGAATATTGTTATTATTATATGTGTGTATAATAAAAGAATATATATAATTTTAATGCAGTGTATAAAGACCATCCACTAGATGGAGCGATGATCTCAAATGCATTGCAGGAAATTAGTAGATGCAGGTAGCTTAGGACCGTTTCAGTGTTCCGTGGCAGTCTATGGGGAAGGCATATGTCCAGCAGTGGATGGATAATATCTGAAATGTTGATGATAACCTTTTATGCATTACACCAAAAATCAATGCTATCATGGTAGAAGTGTACATTTCAAGTGGTAAGTACTAGATACTGAGAGACAGACTTCGAGCATGGTTTGGTCTCCAGTCTAACACAGATTAACTGTATCAACCTATCTACCATGATAATATTGTAATGTAAGATTGTAAAGACAATAAACTGTTGTAATTATAAGAAGAAATGACAACAGAACTAACTCCAATTATATAAACCTCTCTTCTACTTGCTGTGCCCAACAGTGTCTATCTTCAGGGGTAATTGAAGTTAAAATGTTATCTACTAATCACATTATGGAATGCAATAAGAAATAAATAAATATTATAGCTTTATAAGATAATTTAAGTTAAATAGGAATAAAAGTTACAGAACTGTAACTTTTCTGAAACAATTTGTATTTCAATAATAATTAAGAAAAAGTAAAACTTTTTAAAACCTGTACTGGCATAATTGTTTTTTTTTTTTTACACAGTATTTACTTAATAAATTACTAAATACATGCAAAGGAAATTATCAGTAGTGAAGTAATATATTTTTATATGTTTTATATAAAATAAGATTTAAGAGATATAATTTAAATACCTGTATACCTACCTGCATTAAATACCTATGTATCATTTTTATAAACATTGAATTCAATAAATAATAATATATATTTCCATATAAATAGTTACTTATGTTGTAGTTATACTTAATTATCACCTAAATATCAAAGTTTGTATTTAATAAATCATTTAAAATATTTCGATGAATTAATATACAGATAATCTGAAAAATTAAAATAAATTCTATTTTAATTAGTAATTATATTTTTGCATTTTCCGCATCAGGCATGAACTTTATCTCGTGTAAGTAGATTAGTCTGTGGGGAAGGGATTGTTAGTAATGGGGAGGTTACAGTCCATTGCTATCAATATGCCCTATCAGGTCGACCTCCGTGCAGTTTTCCCTGGAAACCATCGTGACTAATTTATCGTTGAATTTATCACGATGAGCTAACAGACTTGCTTTTTCATCATCACTTATCATCTCTCACTGGTGTCGCGCCAGTGTATACCGTTAGCGCAGATGAGGTTACCATTTAATTATCATTTATTAGGAAAAAAGTAGATTAGTCTTAATAAAAATCTTATCTATCAACTTGTAACTGAGTAGGTACTTGTAGCAATTGAAACTTATCGATATGAGTACTAAATATTCGTTATATACACGGGTACAAACATTAGATTGAGAAAGAAAAGGATTACTTTTTTCATTCATTTTCTATGATAATTCTATTTAGATATCTACCTACTCAGTTTCACATCATTCTCATCTATCATCTTTCACTGGTGCCCCGCCGGTGTATACCGATAGCGCGGGCGGAGTTACCATTCCATTTTCACCCATTAAAAAAAAACAGTTCCACATGTAACATAAGTCCTTATCCTAGAATCTGATAGAACCAAAGGTATCCTTAGTCTTTGGCGTAGGTGCCACTAGAATGTCAAATTGTCGTGATGTCGTTTTTTAATATAAAGATTTTGTTTGTTCCTATCATCACAAACTAGTTGTTATTTATCACAGACATTGTTTTGTACTAAGAACAAGAGTTTTCTATATAGTTTGTGTCATTGTCACAGATAAGTCGGAGATTCATAGTCTCTTATCTTTATTTTCTGATTATCTGTGGTTTTATAGCGAAAAAGTCCAAGTTGATTCCGGATCTGAAGTTAAAAACTTACGTTTTTATTTATTTATTTAATATTTTATTATTATAATCCTCGACTGTATTAAAATTTCTATTAAGGTATTATGAATTGTTAATTTCATATCGTATTTGTTTTATTACATTTACCGGATAAGCAAAGGAAATTAGTTTCAAAGCCGCCGTTCTCTATTTTTTTCAACTTTCTTATCTCGTCTCATACACGTCCATTGTAATATCCTCTTCGATCTATGTATGAATTATTTATGAATATTTTCTTTGCCATATAATTGTGTTTAATACTGATTGTCATAATTTTTTGGTACTATTGAATATTTTAGGTTATAATTTAATGTTACAGAACTATGAGCGGTGAAGGTATATCCCCTGAGGAGGTGGAGGCACTGTGCCGGACCCCTGATGCTATTACTAAGGTAATATTTTCCTATTTATAAAACACTAGTTTTTACCTGTGATTTCAAAGTAGTGAAAATTATATACTATATTTAACGACCCATTAAGTTAATAAAATGTAATAAACAAACTCATTTTACATCTATATTAAGGTAATAGAGCACAAGAGTTTATTTGAACATCTTTTGAACTACTAGTCAGTTTTGATAAATCTGTTTGCTATTTAATAGCTTTCTCAAGTGTTATTCCTCTGTACCTTGTAAATTAACTGCCATAACGTGCCATTCATTTCAAACCGAAATTGAAAGGTGGGATATTTTTGAAGAAATTTTTGCTATTCTAAGCGTAATAAAATAATTTCAGGACTTCATGTTCCAACAAACAATGTATCGAATTAAAGATCCACGGAAATCCATTCCATTCTACACCGGTGTCCTGGGTATGACCTTACTGAATCAGCTCCATTTTCCTGAAATGAAGTTCTCCTTATTCTTCATGGGCTATGAGAATCCGGCTGAAGTGCCATCCGACAAACTCACAAGGAGAATGTGGGCCATGACGAAGAAGGCAACTCTGGAACTGACATAGTAAGTATCAGCTTATCTACCTTTATGATGTTTTGGTTTAAAACACTGCCTCACATTCTGAAGATCATAGGTTTGATCTCCACACAATACATACTTTGCTTGAATGTTTTATATATATGGAATAAGCTCCTTGCCGAGGTTTTCCCAAGAGACTACAACATGGGGTTCTTCAAAAGGGGTGTAAAGAGGTTTCTTCAGGGTCAGCAACATGCGCGTAGTACCCCTGGTATTCCAGGCGTTTATAGGCTATGGTAACCACTTACCATCAGGTGGGCCATATGCTTGCTTGCCACCACAGTGGTATAAAAAAATATATGTCATCATATCAGCTATTAACTGTCCATTGCTGAACATAGGTTGGAACAACCCCCCTGTTGGAGGGCTTTGCCAGTAGCTGCTATGACCTATCCTTCAACCACTAACTTTCCTTAGTTGCCTCTTATGACACAGCTGCAACAAAGTCTTGTGAGTCTCAGTGACTAATGTAATTATAGATTTTTTTATACAACTTAGAATGACAAACAAGCTGACGGCCCACCTGATGGGAAGTGGTAACCGTCGCCTATAGACATGAGCAGTACCATGGACGTAACAGAGTATACTGTTTCGCCCATGGTACCCCCCATGCGTTGCCATTCCTGAGGACTCAGGTGTTATTCCTCTGTACCCAGTAAATTCACGCCATATCCCACTCTGCAAACCAAAACACAGCCATGCAAACACAACTGCTTTACGGTTGAAACACGAATGGGATGGAGATACTCAAGCAATCGACTTTTGTACAAAGTCTCCCTCTGGTAAAAATCCTAAAAAGAAAATTGTATTAAGCTAAAATTCCTCCTAATAAATCCAAGGGGAATAAATGAGATTTCACCATAAAATCTATTATTGAAAAGTACAAATACTCCATTGAATTTTATACCCATTGAGCTATTTTATCTAAGAAATTAACATGGTAGATTCAGATATATTGAGAGATAAAATTGTTATTTCCTGAAAAAATGATTTAACGTTCTACATAATATCTTGGACATCTCTTATTCTTATCTTTATTAGACATTTTATTATCTCTTAAGGGTGATGACGGCTTTGCCCGCATTGATGTTATCATTGGTGTAAGAACTATTTCATGTAGATAAAATATTTTTTTATCTATGTGAATTGTGTAATAGATGGGGAGACATACATTTTTCTACATGTATCTTACACTAGAGTATAAAGATACAAAACTAGTTAAAAAGTATATATATATATATATATATATATATATATATATATATATATATATATATATATATATATATATATATATATTTATTGCACTAAAACATACAGTAACAACAATAAGTTAATAACAATGTTGGCAAAGGTGAACTTATCTCTAAAAGAGATTTCTTCCAGTCAACCTAACGCAGTGGCATAGGAAGTAATGATTATTGAAAGTCAAGAAAGAAATTAAATATGTTTATTTAAGCTAATTGATTTTTTTATTATTCTACAGCCAATTTGAAACACAATTTCAGTTAAGAAGAATGGAACGACACTGTTGGATTTTCAAAAACTTTAATTTTATAAATTAATTTTTATTTTAATGTATAAATTTTTGATTTTTTTTTTACAACACAGGGGGCAAACGAACATGCGGCTCACCTGATGGTAAGTGACTACCGCCGCCCATGGTCACCCACAACACCTACGGCATTGCAGGTGTGCTGCCGGCCTTTTAAAAAGGAATATGCTCTTTTCTTGAAGGTTATGTTGTCGTATCGGTTCGGAAATACTGCTGCTGGAAGTTGATTCCAAATTGATTGGATTACATTATTGTACCTTTTTTGGTAGGGCTACCTTTACGTAATATAGGATTTTATAAATGAAAGAGTTTTTAAAATCGTTTTTGAGTGTACCAACAAACAAACAATCAAACTAGTATATACCTATACTAGGTTTTTTTGTCAAAGGACAAGCTAGAAATATAGATTAATATTTGTAAAAAGAAAACAATTTTACCAATAAAGACTTTATAATTTTAGGTATAGATTTATCTTATAAAGTTGTCATTACACAATTCCAGCAATTGGGGCACGGAGAGCGACGACTCCAGCTACCACAACGGCAACTCGGACCCGAGAGGCTTCGGCCACATTGGTATCCTGGTGCCTGATGTAGAAGCCGCGTGTGCTCGGTAATTACACTATATTTTTTTATAAGTCTAAAAAAACGGCTCACTTGATAGGGAGGGGGGGGGGGGTTCGTTAATAATGCAGACTTCCAGTCCTATTGCTAGAAATATACCCTGTCAAGTTGACCTCCACGTCGTCATCCCTGATAAATCATCATCCTGAATTCCATGTGTATTCATCACAATGGACTAACTGACCTGCCTTTTCATTTGCACCTATCATCCCTTACTGGTGCCCCGCCAGCGTATACCGATAGCGCAGGCGGGGTTACCATTCCATTATCATCCATTAAAAAAATCCTGTTAATTATCAAATTACTAATTTACTTTCAGGTTTGAACAATTAGGAGTGAAATTCATCAAGCGACCACAAGACGGCAAGATGAAGGGGCTGGCCTTCATTCAGGATCCAGACGGTTACTGGATCGAGATCTTCGGCTGTAACGTCGTGTCCTAAATGCCGATATGTAGGGTAAGAGTACCAAATTTTGACACCAGTAGATATTATGTTGCAGTTGGAAAATACTCCTTTCCTATTTTAAATAGTTGACATTAATTTTCTAATGTTTTTTTTTTTTTTTAAAGAACACTTATTGAATGAATTCAATTAATTTGTCATGCATTTTAAACTGTTTTAGAGATTGAGTTAATAAGAAAGATGCATATTTGCTATAAAAATTGTCATTTCTTTTTTTAAATCGAACTATTTATTTATTTCATATATAATTATTTCGATAGAAATATATAAAAATGCTTTATTAAATATACCAAGAGTAAAAAAGAGTGATTATATTGGTAAAAGCAAGACTTGATTTTGTTATCTTTGATTTAAGAGATTTTTTTTACGGATGTAATAAATTTCAGTTCTAGTCCAGCATTTTAATGACAGTTTCTGTTATGAATTTGACTGTATATTTTTTTTTATGAAATCTTTTACAATACCTACAGGCGAGCCTACAGTCTCCCAAATTGGTTTAATAAGGCTGTTTTCTATTAAAATGAAATTATTCGAGTAATTAAATTTAAATGCAATATTTTTTAAATCCTAACTTGTAGGATTCACAGTGAAGACAATGTAGGTATGATGAGATTTTTCAATTATATATATATAAGGTGTTACCAAATTATCTGCATTCCCTTTAAAGGGATATAGTATTACGTATATACGTTACAATAATGATAGAATTTCGTGTCTCAAATGTCATAACATTTTTCATACAAAAAAAAAAATCCTTAATGTAAATCTTTCAACCTGTGTAAAAAGAGTCTTAAAAAACGTTACGCTAAAACTGTCGGAGTGATCGCGACCAACAATGTGATAGGGAAAAGTATAGTTATTAGGACGGTTTTACAAGTAATGAAGAAATTTAAATATATATATATATATATATATATATATATATATATATATATATATATATATATATATATATATATATATATATATATATATATATATATATATATATAATACTATGCCTTGTAGCAGGGAATGCAGATAATTTGGTAACACCTTATATGTAACTTGTAATTGTGCATAATTTTTACATTACCTTATACATATACATATATCTAAGTAAATTATTGAATTTAGCAAACGATGTGATAAAAATGAATTAAATTATTAAACGCATTGCCAATTATTGGTACTCATACCTTAAGAATTATGTCAATATATATCAACAATTTAAATTGTAAGGGGAAAATAATGTATAGTTCTTTAAACGGAAAGCTTGTAAATGATTAGGGTATTGGTGAAATGTTGCCATAGGAATTAATAATAATGTAAACAAACGAATAATTGATACGATCATAAGACAGTACATTGATGCTAAATAATCGATTTAATGCATGGGGGGTATCATGGGCGAAACAGTATACTCTGTTATGTCCATGCTACTGCTCATGTGTATAGGCGACGGTTACGTTCCATCAGGTGGGCCGTCAGCTTGTTTGCCATTCTGAGTTGTATAAAAAAAATGTATCGATTCGTTACTAACTTCATTCGGAGGGTGTTACTGTGAAAATTTCAACGAAAATTGATTACATTTTTATTAAATCCTATTGCAATAGACTGTAAGTTCAAAGTTGGACAGTACCAGGGCATAGATCCATTGAAGGCATTCGTGCTAAAATTGTTTTTATCGGTTTTCTTTTTATATTTAATCGGTTTTTTGTTATTGTTATTGTTGTTTAGAGATATAACTTAATAATATTCGACTTTACTTACGCTTTTAAGTACGAAGCGAGTGGCGTTTTTTAATTGATGCAAACGTGAATTTGAAAATTTGGAGGTTTAAGCTGAGACTCGTTCTTGGAACCACTGGACTGCGATCTACATGACAGAACTGTCACGTTGAAATACACTATCGGGATATAACGAGACGCATTTGCAGGTAAATAGTACTTGCATACTTGAGGGCCTACCATGAAATATTTTCCGAATTTTTTTTTAATCTATTTATTTAAAAAGGTATACACAACAGGTTACAATCAATAACATTATAAAAATTTGTAGAAAGACAATAGTATGAACTAGATTAAGACCCAGACAGGTGTACACACAGCATGGTTAAAGCAGTCGGCAAACAATGTTAAATTATAAAGTTATATAAAGAAAGCATATGAATTTAGTAAATAACAATGAAGTACATGCAAATAATAAAAATATATAAAAATATGAGCATGTCAAAGAGAAAGGAAACAAAAGGATAGCCCATTATATATGTATTCTTGTATATAAACTTTATTGATGTTTATTTAAAAAAAATTACGATCTCCCATGACTGGCTGGTGAGAAAAAAATGTTTACTCTAGTTTTTTAATTAGAAAAAAAAAAGTTCTCAAATGGATCTATGTCCGGCGCAAATAAATTAGAGCGTTGTTTTTTTTTATATATAAGTAACTGTTATTCGATGCATTTTGCTTTTATTTTTTTTTTATCATAATAAAATACGTGCAATTGTTATACAAACTAGTGATGTAAGTATGTTTATTAAAAATGTTCATATTATTTTTTTTTTTGTGTTTTTTATTCGAATAATATTCCTGGTCCAAAATTCCAAAGTAACTGTTTTTACACAGCATACCTGTTTGGGGAACATATCCAGTGTACTCTGTTGTGTCCATGGTACTGTTCATGTTTATAGGCGACGGTTACCACTTTCCATCAGGTGGGGGCCGTCAGCTTATTTGTCATTCTAAGTTGCATAAAAAAATGGGGACTGACCTCCCCATCACTAACAATCGCTTCCCCCGATCCCTCCTAACTGCGAATAAAAAAATATGCGAAATTGTTCATAGAAATTTAAGTGTAAATTTTCTTTTTATTACAGTTTCGTACATAGTAATATACTTTTAAATAGGTTTAACGTATCCACAGTAAAAATAAAAAAAGTAAATGTGAGAGGTAGAGCATCCTTACATATAGGTTTTTACACGTGATGTATACCCATCAAAAATATAAAATGACAAAAACTGCCAAGTCTCGCATCTGAACGCAAGTCTTTAGCTACAAAAACTTGTGCAATCTCATATAAAACCAAGTCGTAGTGACCGTGTTAATATCATCTTTGTACAATCATTTCTGTAATAATTATCATATATATATATATATATATATATATATATATATATATATATATATATATATATATATATATATATATATATATATATATAGAGAGAGAGAGAGAGGTCAATTCTGTACATGAAATATATTTCCAAAATAACTATCAGGAGGTGATTAGTGATCGATACTGATGACAAAAATGCAATCAGTAAAATTTTTGTCTGTCTGTCTGTATGTTCGTTATAGAAACAAAAACTACTCGACGGATTTTAACGAAACTTGGTACAATTATTCTTCATACTCCTGGGCAGTTTATACTGTAGTCTTGGTACAAGTATACTTTTCATCACGCTATGATCAATAGGAGCAGAGCAGTGAAGGGAAACGTTGGGAAAACGGGAGAAGTTACTCCATTTTTAAATTTCCCTCGCGTGTGCAGCCTTAATGGCCACTTTTGAAAATGTGAAAATGTCCACTCGTGCGTCGCCGGGACGGGCCGCTAGTATTATATAAAAATTGAGTGAATCGTACCTACGTATACCGGTGCGTAGCCAATTGGTAATTGCTACAAATTTAGTACAAATCATTGGTGCTTTATATCATTACTACACAGCTATAAAAGCAACTAGAAGTGACCACTAGATTAGATCATCTTCATCATATTAATTGAGGGGGGAAAGGGATTGTTAGTAATGGAGTTTGATAGCCCCATTGCTAGCAATATGCCCTATTAGGTCGAGCTCCACTTGGTTCCCCCTGGAAACCATCGTGAACAATTCTTGTTGAATTTGTCACGATGGGCTAACTGACCTACTTCATCCTTCACTGGTGCCCCGCCGGTGTATACCGATGGCGCGGGTGGGGTTACCATTCCATTATCACCCATTAAAAAAAACTGTCCGCTACTGAACATAGGCGTCCCGCTCGTGGGGGGTGTTGCCACTAGTTGCCACGCTTAGCAGGCGAGTTGGCAACCGCAGTTAAACTTTGGTAATGTTTTAATAGGGCGGTTTTAAAACACCCAATGGGAGGCCCTTTGTGTGTTCTACCGCTTGTATAACGGATATTGTTCTGAGGAATTGTTTGAAATTATGCCAACAGCCACCTTTTATCATCGCACCGCTCGCCATCGACAGGGAATTCATCCACACATGCTTGAACGTAAATGGTCATGTACAATGTGATTTCAGAGAAATTGTACCCACGAACGCTCAGACTGTAGATTGAGCTCCCTACCGAGGTTTTCTTTAGAGACTACAGTATGGGGTTCTTCAAAAAGGTATATTAAGATTTCACCAGGGTCGGCAACGCGCACGTGACAACCCTAGCGTTGCAGGCGTCCATAGGCTACGGTGACCGTTTACCATCAGAAAGGGCTGTATGCTTGTTAACCATCTTTGTGGTATAAAAAAAAAACTTGGGTAATAGATTTTTTTTACAACGCAGGGAGCAAACGAGCATGCGTCTCACCTGATGGTAAGTGACTACCGCCGCCCATGATCACCCACAACACCAGCGGCATTGCAGGTGTGCTGCCGGCCTTTTAAAAAGGAATATACTGTTTAAAGGAAGATACATTTCACGATACACTTCCAGTAAACTAAAATACCTTATGTTCTACATAATATTATAATATAAATACAAATCAATACTGCAAAGTAATATGTCTCTAGTTATAAGATTATTAGACACGCTATTTATTGAAAATAAATATTATTTCACAGTATAAAGTATGCTAATGCATCAGGTGTGGCTCTCGAGACAATAAAAATGTATTTTCTATATTTCCTTTTATTTTCGCCATTCCACGTGCTCTGTGCTCCGGTGAGTTTATTAAAAAAAAATATTATAGGTAATTCAAAATAGATACTTAATTTTTAATTCAAGACAACGTGAACAAAATGTGGACTTAAAAAAAAGGTCTCTTCTAGTCTACTTTACATAGTGGCGTAGACAGTAATGAGGCTAACATGAACGCAAAACAAAATTAAAAAGAAATATAAATGATAGTGTGTATCAATAAAATGCCTATATGTAAATAATTTAAAAAGGTCTAAATGACAATAATCCAAAATACCGATGTGTATATATGTACATGTATAACGGAAATCGAAGCAGTATACTCTGTTATGTCTATGGTACTGCTCATGTCTATAGGCGACGGTTACCACTTTCCATCAGGTGGGCCCTCAGCTTGTTTGCCATTCTAAGTTGTATAAAAAAAAATATTATGTCGCTTTCGACAATTGTTTCGACCATCACCCAGAAGTGCAGGGCGAGATTTGACGCTGTGAAGCAAAACAACAAAAATGCCCTCTGAAAAAGAGTTCTGGATGAAGACTAATATTATTGGAGATTTATAAAATTTCCGTTATACATATTTAGCAGACATCGTTAATAAATGAACATATGTTTTAGTTCTATCATAGATATCCACCATATTTAAATTTATCTCGCAATTAGATGAATTTGACGATATCCTATTCATTGACATCAGACCATTTAATATACTCATACATGATCGTCAGTAATGCACGGTTACACACGTACATCCAAACATCCAGAGAACATTCAATTAAAAATCAATTACTAAGATTTTTTTAATTAATAACAAAATATCAAGAATTTAATGATTTTATAACTTTTTAGCAAAATGAAACTGTAAATACAAAAGATAGTCTCCTAGAAGCCGTACATGTTGAGAATTATCCCAGATATGGAACGAAAATTAGTAACAGACAAGTTTATCAATATTCAATAACAAAACCAAAATCCAGCTATGATGGAGAAGATAACAGCAATGTAACTTATCCAATACATTCAAGTAATGTCATTATTCAGTATAATAAGAATAAAGTGATGCCTAATACAATGAGAAGAAAGAACACCAATAATTTTTTCCTGAATGACGGATACAATAAAGATGGACAAGTTTATGAAGATAGCGAAATATTAAACAATAAATCTAATGTAAATCTCAATAAATTTGTAATTGGCAATAAAGATATTGGTAATACAGAAATAACTAAAGATAATGACATTTATACTGCTTATAATGTTGTAAATATTTTGAAAAATCAAACGGACATGAAAGATTATTTTATATCTAAAATGCTAAGCAATTTTAAGTATAAAGATGAAAATAAAAACACTAACCAATCTTTAAAAGACAGTAACTTTTTTAAAGAAATAGATGAATCAAGCAAACAGACTATAAAAGGATATAATCCTCTTTTAAACTATTCAACGATTATTATAAAGTCAAGTTATGATCCAAGAAAACAGGCATATAGCTTGCCCGGTACAAGTGGTAGTATTGTACAAAAAATAAATTTTGGTAATACCGTTAATAATAAAGATATTAACGTACAGTCAAAGCCCGAAACATCAAATGAATTTGTTAATAATATAATACAAATACTGCCCCAGAAAAGAGACTTAAATGATTCAATTTCAAGACATAATTATTATAAAGTAAGAATATTTGAAAATAATTACAATTCTCCTAAAAATAACTCAAATGCAGAAACTCTTGGCAATAACGTCTATAACAAAATTTTAATAAAGAAAAACATTAATCATGCAACAGAAGATAGAAATAATTCAAGACGAGACAATTGGTCCGATATTATTAGTAATGTTTCAGTTGAAGTAACAAATAATGACAATGAAAATGATGTTATAGTAGAGTCAGATGAAATTTCTTCTGAAGGAAATAATTCTAAGTTATCAAATACAGAAAAATCAAATTACTACTTCCCAAATTTTGAAAAATACAATTTATCAGAAATAAAAAGCACCAAAATTCATAACAATCGCAAAGAATTTGAGGAAAGTGTGATATATTACTTAAATAATAGAAGAAATGATAATACAGAGAAAAATTCTAAATATGGTGTTTTAAGCCATACTGAATTTGAAAATCAGTTATATAGGAAAAATAGCACAGATAATGCTGATTTAAATAAAGGTCTCTACGGTAAAATTGCAGAAGGGAAAAAGACATTAGATGATGGTAAAAATTCAACTTTTCAAAAATTTATAATAAATGAATATCTTTCTATTTTAAATAATAACTCGACAAAGTCTGGATTAAGTAATTCACCAGGAAATTCTGAATTATTATTTATCAATAATACTAACAAAAGTATAAAGAATAAGGTAGACTGGGATGAAATAATAGAAGATCAAAACACCATTAATAAGAAACAGTATGCGAATAGTTTTTCTGAAAAACCTAACACCAATATAAACAATTTGACGTCTCTTACAATAAATACACAAAAGGTAAAATTAATGTATTTATTAAATAAATATACAGAGTTTTATAGAATGTCGTCATTGTGGTAAATGTAGTAGTTGCATTCTTAATTCTTTAAATAAAATTTATAATATATATATATATATATATATATATATATATATATATATATATATATATATATATATATATATATATATATATATATATATATTAAAATTTAATTTAAATTGCTTATTGGTTTTGTAATAAGTTTATTAAAGAAATTTATCAAAATACTAACTGTAATAAATATTTTGTGTATTACAATTAATGCATTAAATTAGGTTCATATCTATCTATCCTATTTAAGAGCTGCGCTCTTGTCGGTGGAGCTCTTGCCACTCACTACGATTTTCAGCGTGTCTCTTCACCTCTTGATACGACACGACACCAATTCCTTCCTTGATCTACCTGATGTAACTATGTCTCGGTCTCCCTCTTCCCCTGCAGGTTCATATATTCTCATTATTTTAATACAATTGTTAATTTTCTAGATATTGGATTCTACACTGAACAAAGATATTAATGGAAGCTTAATATCAAAATCATCAAGCGAAGAATTGTTAGAAGGTAAAACACTTGATACAGTGTATAAAAATGAAGGAGATGAAAAATCATACATTAATAGCAAAGTAAACAGGAATTCTTTAATATTTACTGAAAAGACCAAAAATGAGCTTAAAAATGAGAATAATATGAAAAAAGGAAATGACTTTTCTTCGGAAAAATATCAAAATTCTAAATTGAATTCAAAGATGGTTTTGACAGGTTATCAAGATAAGGAGTTTGCATCGTTCTATGATTTGATTTCAAAGATGTCTAAAATCGATAAAAACAACTTGTTAGAATATTGGAAAATGTTAGTAAAACTGTTAAAATTACAGACAAATAACACTAAATGTGATAAAAATAATTTATACTTAATTCTTAGAATATTATCAAAATTAAACGAAGCCAAACGTTTAGATTTACCGATAGAACTGATTGTAGACAATATAGCATATAAAGTTCAATCTTTGGTAAAACTAACGAATCTTAACTCTGGTAAAATGCAAGCTAGTAATATTAAAAATAATAATAATGTAAATATGTTCTATATTCCGATCAAATCTGAATATCCTAAAACGTCAGCACAGGTATCTACCAGGGAAAAGGAAGTGAAAATTTCTGAAATATTGCATACTGCATCGGCTAAGACTAAAAATGTATCTACAGAAAGAACTTTTCACTCAAAACTTACTGGCCTAGAAACAAACGTCGAAAAAACTTATACAGATATTGCGGACTCGAAAACGAATGACAATCTAGATTCTATTACTGAAAATACAATAGTCAAAACTAATTTAAATCAACAATCTCTCCCTTCAAATTACAAATTAAAACCAATAGTTGATGAATTCATTCATCGTCATTCTGTTACAGAGCATCTTAGTCAAAATAATGTAAATGCTATGTTTACACCTGTATACACAGAAAATAAGTTTAATCAACACAAAATAATTACAAATGGTAAACAATATTTCATATCCACTCCAAAACCTGAAAATTTTAGATCAACTAAAGCAAATCAAAAGTTAGAAAACTCGGAATTAGATACTAATATTGGAGAATTTTCATCAGTGTTGGACATTGGGAAAAGTAAAGAAAACAAAGACAGTGAAGTACCATATAGTGAAAATAATCGAAGAATGATCAATGATGGAAAACCTGTACATATCCTTACTGAATTTGGTAAGCCAAAAAACCTTAATTATTTTCAAGTTAACGTACAAAAAGAAAATGCCGATATCAATTCTCAATCCAATAATGATAAAAGTGTAGAGGTAATAGATTCATTAAAGAACTTGCCTTGGTATAAATCTAAGACAACTGGCGTTTTTAACTACATACCATCTCCATTTTTAAATAATCCAGTATCGATGCAAAGTTCCTTTAAAAAATATAACAGGAAACCAGAAGAAGACTCAGAAAACCGTGTAAATTTTACATCTTATGTTACACCAAGTATCCAATATGAGGAAGATAATATTCAGATGCAGTATATTTCAACGTCACCTAGTTTTGACCATAAATATTTATTGCGAAAACAAAAAATAGCAACAAACAATAAAGATGGATCGAATACTTTGTATCAACGATTGTTAAAACCAAAGATAATATCTCTTGGACAATTCAAAACTTATGACGAACATGATTCTGATTTAGAAAATATTTTTTATAACACTGTCAGCCAAGAAAATTTTGGAAGAGTAAGAAAAATTTACAAAAATGCTTTATATACAGAAATTTCAAGAATTGATTCTAGTACGCCACTGTCATTACAAAAACACAATATTGGGCAAACTGAACATTTTGAAGCAACTACGCACGCTGATGATATTGATAAGAATTTCTTAAATAAATTTAATGATGTTATTAAAGATGAATTATCAAAATTGAAAATATCAAATCCGGAAACTGAATCTAAAAACATACGTTTTAAAATAAGCCATGATCTTTACAAACCAGCTATTAAAAATTTTCACTTAGAAGACGGTATTAACAGAGACATCGATATAATCTTTCGGAACACCATGAAGTATTTTCGAAAATTAGGAATGTCTGAAGGATTAATATTTAAAATTTTCACTGTATTATATAATTATGTATTGCCTGAAATTATTGAGAAGTCTGTACGTGAATGCAAAGAAAATACGTACATCAATATAGAAGCAAGACTAAAACCTATTATCTCGTCACTATTAAAGGAATATTTGCAAGATAAATATTAAGATTCTCGCAAACTAGCTAGTTAAAATTTTGCATTGGGTTTGCAATATTTATAATTTAAATTTTTCAATGTATTGTCGTAATAAGTATATAATTAATTTAATAATCATTATTGTCGAGAAAATCATTACATTTTTGTTTATTATTTCGAATCAGTCTTATCGCAGAAGCGATTTCACGGCGGCTAATGTGACGAACTATAATTAATGTGGAAAGTCACTTATTTCAAGTATATTTTTGTGGGCGTTATTACAAAATAACGATGCCGAATTTTGTTTTAGGAATTTATTTCGTATTGCTATTAAATTCTAATATCGCCTTAACTACAGTAAGTACTCTTATATTTTGATTTCTTACATTATGTGGTCTTATTCAAAATATTTATAAATAATTTTATGGTTTTATAATAATTTAAAATTTTGTACAGGTTTTAACTTCTACTGAAGTTAGTCAAAACCCCTATGTAGATTTTGAAAGTATAATCAAAGGCAATAATAATAATGTAAGTCAGAATTTGTATAGTAATATTTTATTTAATTATTGAATTAATCTATGACTTAATGTCGCTGTCCTATGAATTTAGAGCAATATCTTTCTTAAGAATTTTGTTTGGAATGAACTAAATTTCTTTAATTTTAACGCCTAATAATATCTGAAAATATCCTTTTTTTTGAGTTCATATTTCTGCTTTGTGTACCAGCCTGATTTAATTATACAGTGTTTCCCATTTTTAATAAATAATTTGTTTAATTTTAATTTTATTTTCACAACAGGTTCCAAATCTCACAAATTCTGGCACTACGTTAAAAAAATGTGAAAACTCTGAATTGCTGTACCCACTTTTAAATATACTCTTAGAATTTTTCCAGACACGTAATTCAGACATTAACAAATTTATGAATGTGTTGCCACTCATTAAGAAATATTTAGATGAGTCTACAGACAGTGTAGAAAAAGATGAAATTAATAAAAAACTAAAAAGTATAGAAGATCAATCAGAATGGACACCTAATCGAGCATTGCGTGGAATGTATGATTCAAATGAACCATTTAAAACGAATATTGTATTCAAAACTGTGCCACCAAATATTAATCAACCAAATTGTAAAGATACCTTGGAGAAATTAATCCAAGATGCTTACAATGTTTATCTTCAATTAGCGAAATATCCAACGTGTCTACAAAGTTCACTAAATCCTAATAATATAGCATCAGCTAACCCAATCGAACTAAATCCAAACGATTTTTCTTTCGATATAAAATTTACGAATCCGGAAAGTGTTTCAAATAGACCACAAGATTTTCTTAATAATGATAATGGATTGTATTCTTCACATAATTTAAAACCCATTATTGGCGACAGTAAAAATTCATTACAGTATCTAAATAATAATAATCCTGATTTGATAACAATAATCTCAAACATTGCATCGTTACTTCAACATTATAGACCAGGGCAATTTTCATTAGTTGAAACTAAAGGATTTCCGTCTAATGGAGAAATGCCTCAACTGTATATTAATCAAACTTCACAACCCGATCACAATCTTTTATTGTCGAATTTGAATACAGGAGACTCAAACGCTAATTTAAAATATCCGCATGTTCCGTTCAACATTATGCAGTACTTTATACCTGAATTTATCAAGAAACCAGATAACCCGCAATTTAAATTAGATGCCACTAATTATACTAATCCTCAAGCAAATAATTTATATTTCAATTACGAAAACTCTGACAATGCTTTGGCTGATTTAGTAAAGAATTATCTAAATCTACCAATAAATCATAAATCGGACAAAATAGATTTTAAAGAAAAATTAGAAGAAAAACCTCAAGAATATTTAGGTTTACCTGAAAATCGATTTAAAATTCCTTCACAGATAATATTAAACAATATTAATAAGAATTTACCACAAAACCCTTTTCTAGAACAGATAATAAAATTACTAAAAAATCAAACAAATAACCATTTAGTTAAAACTCCACAGAATGCTATCAGTAATGCAGACAACCCTGATATAAAACAAGAAGAAATATTTTTACCAAATAATAAAGCTATTTTTTCAATGCAAGATAATTCCAAACCAAGTCAAACTAATATACTACCACACCAACAAGATATGCTAAATCCATATTCAAATTTTGTAAATGTGGATTATAACAAATACCCAAATTTAAAAAATCCTTACAGTAACAGTATACCTTATAACGAAAATAATGTGATATACACACATTCAAACTCGAACGGTGGAGCTTTACCAAATCAATCAAACCCGAACCTAGAACATGTTTTAAATATTCCGAAAGAACTTGCAAGTAAGAAGCAACAAACACTAAGTAAAGATTCAAATCAGCCAAGTATTCCAATCGTGAATCAACAGCAGAATTCATTCCCTAGTAGCATATTATACCCAGGTAATATGAATTTTATTCAAAACAAGTATCCACATTTGTTATCAGACTACAATTTAGTTCAACTAAATGCATCTAATCAAATTTTTGAAAATCCAAAAGTTTTTCCAGACATGAATAAGAGCATCCTTCAAACGGTTCCAAATTATATGAAATACAAAAGTGTGCATTCAAATTCTGTAATGCCTAATTCAATTACTGGTACGCCATCAAATTATGCGCCAATTGCAGGTAATTCAATGCTGTTACCAGATTTACAACGGTTAGCCATAACTAATCTGTATAAATTGAATACATTACCTGACCTAGCGGGCATGATTGAGTTGACATATTTCCTTAAACGACCAAAACAATTATTGTACCAACCATACTATTTCGTAAAATATAGACTTCCGTACCAAACATTTGTACACAATTTGCATCAGCTATTACTGAGAAAACCTTTCCTCAGATCTAATCCAATAAAGTTATACCAAGAGTTAGTAACGATGTCGAATATTACAGAAATATCGCCAGATTTAAAAGGAGTAGGAGAAGAGGATATACAAAAATTGATTTCTGATAACGGCGCATTGGTTAAAGCAAAAATAATCAATGGTAATGATGCATTTTCAAATAAACAGTTGAAAGTTATACAAAATTTAAATGCTGCAATCCGTCCAGAAGAAATTTTAAAGATAAATCAAGAGCAAATGAACCTTGGAGTCGATAAAAATAAAGTGGGCGATAATACAAAGGTGAACAAAGATGTCCATAATTTCAGGTTAGAAAATGTAACTCAAGAAGCGATTGGAGCTTGAAGCTCCTGCTTTATAAACCTTACAAGCTAATAGTTATGGCTCAGTATTAAGTGAAGAGCCAAATAAGACATTCTTATAACCTTCAATATCGATTCCTGGATTCAAAATAAATCAGAATTGGCATTATAATTAATTTCTTGTATTATTCGCTGTTTTTTTTTTTTAATAATAAAAAATACTTAGAGTACATACAATACTGACAAGTTGTGAGTCAACCCTTTGTGTGTATGTTTAATAATAGTTTTTTTTTTATTTGAGTAGTAATCGTTGTTATGTTTTAATGTAGGTATATGTAAATGTAGACTTTGTAAATCATCACAAGAAATAATAGGTTATGGTACAACCCACCGTCACTACTACCAACATAATAGAACGACCAATCCGGGCCACTCGCGGCATCCACACGTTCGTTATAAGTAATAGGTACTGGCGCCCTCTACAGTAGTTTTACGCCGGCCGCTAATACGTTCGTATATGTACTTAGACCTAGAGCGCGCTCCCGCCATTGCTAACAACTATGTATTACATGTTGCTCGTATTAAACTTGTTTTGACAATCGGGGTTTTTCAATTCACAACTCACGACTCTACTTACTATAAGGTTTATTTCTCATACAAAAAAATATATTATTTTTGTTTTTGAAGAAGTCCTATAAAACTTTGTTAATTTTTCACGGTTGTTTACTATAATTGGCGTTAATAGAACATTTTCAATACGGCATTAGGTGCAAAATATTGGCGAGATGAATTCAAATAGGTAAATAATTGCGGTCAAATAAACAATGAATGTTTATTGTGAAGTACCTACATGTGTAAAAATAAATTATACATACATAATTACTTTGTACGTTATTTTCCTTATTTTTCGTATTGTGACGAATTCAACAATAATTAACCACAATGGTTTCCAGTCAGATGGAACCGTGTGGAGAACGATCTACAGGGTATTTTTTTTTTGATAGATGAAAATAGTATGGTAACCCCGCCTGCGCTAACAGGATACGCTGGCGAAGCACCAGTGAAGTGTGATAGATGAGAATGAAAACAGACCAGTTAGCCCATCATGATGAATTCATCAGGAATTAACCATGATAGTTTCCAGGGAGAACCGCGAATAGGTCGACCTAGTTGGGTATATTGCTAGCAATGGGATTCTCAGTCTCCATTACTAACAATCCCTTTCCTCCCATACAGGGTATAATGCTAGCAATGGGGCTTATAGCCCATTACTTACAATCCGTTCCCCCAACTATTTTCTTGCCTCTGTCATGCTTATGTTGAAGGGAAATATCAGCTTGATGAAATTATCATTTAATAAAAAAATATTTAAAAAAAATCGGACCTATTTTCACTGTAATTTTTACATAAATTGTTTTTTTAATGAGTAAAATGGAATGTTAACGCCGCTTGCGCCATTGATATAAGCTAACGAGGCACCAGTGAAAGATAATAGATGAGGATGAAATCAGATTAGTTGACCCATTGTGACGAATTCACCAGAAATTAATCACGATAATTGCCAGGATCACGTGGAGGATTTTTTTTATACAACTTAGAATGGCAAATAAGCTGACGACCCATCTGATGGAAAGTGGCAACCGTCGCCTATAGACATAAGCAGTATCATGGCCATAACAGAGTATACTGTTTCGCCCATGATACCCCCCATGCGGTGTCATTTCTGAGGACTCAGATATTATTCCTCTATATACCTATCACTTATCACTGGTGCCCCTACATCGTATACTATTAGGGAAGGAAGCATTATTATTATATTATTATCCATTAAAAATACCGAATTTTGTGGTACTTACTACATATGACAGCCAGCTGACAGTCTGTCATCACTCTGTCATGTACGCATTTTAGGGAAACTCAAACGGCGTAAATTCAAATAAAAAAGTTTTTATAAATGCTACACAACTTTTTTTTTAATTTAAACATTTTATAAAATAAACACTGACTCTTTCGGTTTGATTGATGTTGATGTTTTGAACAGAGGCATGTTATGATATTATACTATTACGAATTTTCATTTTATAAGTTACATGAGTGTTGTTATTTTCTAAGCGGTTGCATAGATTCAATTTCCGGTTATATCTATATAAGAGCAGTGGCGGTACTAAAATAATTTGTAATTACTTTGCACTACTCTGTAGATAGAGCTCGGGAGCATAGTTTCTCTAATCTGTGCTCGAAAGACAGGGAGCTAGACAGAGAGACAGAGAGAGAGAGAGAGAATGTAAACAAACAGAAATTTGTATAAAATTCGCGAAAAACTGTTAAAAACTGTTAGTTTTCTGAAAACAAATATATTGTGTTAGTAATTAGTGTATTTTACTGTGTTTTTTTTTTTTATGAATTTGGCCTAAAATGCATGGATCGAGACCTAAATTTATGAAACCAGGTACGTAAAATTTTCATTCGAAACTTTCTTCGATTTCTTTATAGAGAAATAATTGACTATTGAATCAATTTTTATTCATTATTTGACTTTAATTAGAGTATGTAACCATACCCAGTAAGCGAAATATAGCTTCTAATAAATGTAGTATAAGTAGACATAACCTATAAGTTTATGCTATATGTACAAATTCAATGGGGACAAATTATTAAAAATATTGAAATCATGGCAAAAAGAACATGGTGTTAAGGGTAGCAAATTAGGTACATATCGCTATATTTTAATTATTTATTTATTAAACCACACCAATAGTACATGTATAATATATTAATTTTTTTTATGCAAAATATATATTTTTTTATTTTTTTTTATTATTTATTTTTGTATGCGATAAAACTTTTAATTCTTGTTTCTAGGTGATGATGAAACCCTCTACCCAATAAGGAATAGAGATGGCAAGATAGAAACATTAGTAAATCCAAATATAGACACAGCATTAACGGTAGACAACGATGCCCAAACGAGTTTCGTTTATAACCGTTACCATCACCTACCGTTTGACGCCCAACGGCAGAGGTTACCAGTTTTCCAGTATAGGAACCACATACTGTACCTGTTGGAGAAGTATCAGACGTTGGTGCTGATCGGTGAGACGGGGTGTGGGAAATCTACACAGGTTCCTCAGGTATGTATGATCTGTTTTCTTAAATAATTTAATGGAGGAAGTTTTCTTTTCGTGTATATGTTTCCATTGTGGGTTTTAATGTCGTTAAAATTGAACTGTTTTTTTTAATGGGTGATAATGGTATGGTAACCTCATCTGCGCAATCGGTATACAATGGTGGGGCACCAGTGATAGATTCTGAAATGTACTTCTCCCTCGAAGTACATAATATATCACAGTACAATATCTATAAGGCTTAATTTCCCTTATTTCTTAAGTTTAGAAAACTAGTATATTTAAAAAAAATATCTAACACCTGCGACTTTTTCCGCGTCGTATTTGTTACTCCTGTTTACTATGTGCCGATGTATGTACCAACCTATTTATTTTGTCTGGGAATACTGGACCGAAATTAACAAATGACGTGCCCTTCTCACTCGAAAGTGTTGGGTCGAAATGACATTACTTAGATAGATTGTGTACTAAGTTGTATAAGTTATTATAGTTTTAAACTATCCCAAATTTTTTCATTTTTAAATGTCCCAATAATATCTCAAATATTGACTGGGCATGTAAGGTACCACCATGCAAAATTTCATTTGAATCGGTCCAACAGTTTCGGAGATTAGCCCGTACAAACAGACAGAGAAACAAATAATTTGAAAAAATCTGGATATGTCCTATTTAACTTCGAACATCCCCCGAACTCGGTTTTTAGTGTTTTTTTTTTCTATGTACAGACATTAGACCTTCTGCAGTTTTATTATGTGTATAGACTAGCGACCCGACTCGACTTCGCGCGGATACAATGTAGAAACAATATAGAATGACTAATAATACTACCATTATATCCGTCTTTTGTTTTTAAACATTAACCTGGTTTTAGAAAGCTATCTGTCCAATATGGAATGTATCGATGTCTTTTCCGTAGTCCCAATAAAGTCCCATCATGACGAATTCACAAGCAATTAACCATGATAGTTGGGGGGAAAGGGATTGTTAGTAATCGAGACTGAGAATCCCATTGCTAGCAATATTGGGTATACCAGGTTGACCTCCTCGCGGTTCTCCCTGGAAACTATCATGGTTAATTCCTGATGAATTCATCATGATGGGCTAACTGGCCTGTTTTCATTCTCATCTATCAGCCTTCACTGGTGCTCCGCCAGCGTATCCCGTTAGCGCAGGCGGGGTTACCATACCATTTTGACCCATTAAAAAAAATCGTGTTGAATTCCAGGTGTATACATCACGATGGGCTAACTGACCTGCCTTTACATCCTCATCTATCATCTCTCATTGACGCCTCGCCAGCGTATAGTGCAGGCGGGGTTTTTTTTAATGGGTGAAAATGGCATGACACCTCGCCTGCGCTATCGGTATACACTGGCGGGGTACTAGTCAGAGGTTATAGGTGAGAATAAAAAGGCAGGTCAGCCCATCGTGACGAATTCAACGATAAATTAGTCACGATAGTTTCCAAGGGGACTGCTTGGAGTTCGACCCGATAGGGTACATTGATAGCAATGGGGACTAATCTCCCCATTACTAACAATCTCTTCTCCCCGCGCAGGCGGGGTCATCATTCCATTACAAATGATATCATAGTTAAATCTATACATTTGTGGTTTGTAAACGGATATATTTAAATTTTCTGTTGTAACTGGTTTCATTTCTATACAAAAGCCATTGTTTCTTGTGTACTATAGATCCATAGGTAGTTAGGTACGGGGAACAACCTCGTTTTAGATTTTATTGTTAACGAACAAAAGCCAAGGTGTTTCACTAAGTGATATCGTCACCTCTATGGTAAACTTACGAAACTGAAAAAGTTACATTTTACAGGGGAACGTTTTGAAACATTAGAATGCAAATAACTTTTGACAGAAGGCTGCTGTAAAAGATCATGCCAACATTTTAGTTTTAAAACCCTGTTTTTTATTGAATGCGCTTAATTAATTATTATTATGTTACAAGTATCAGAAATAAATGCATATTCTTTACTTTGCACCTTCATACATGAGAGTTCCTAGGTATTGAGTTATACAATAGCAAATCTACGAAAGTAGCAGTTTCGTAAGTTGCCAAAGAAAATTATTTATTTTAATATCTGGCAAACTAACGAAAGTGCCACTTTAGTAAATATACCAAGGTATAAATCACGTGTTTTGGAGAGAACTTCAGTTTAAATAACAACGTTATAGCAATTATTCATGTTAAATAATTAAATTAGGATTGAAAAATTGATAAAATAATTGTTGAAAATTTCAAATTAAAGTGTTTATTATAGAAAATACTATAAAAATATGCTAAGTAAGTTTACTTTGGGTATATCACAAAAATATGGAGATTCGAGCTACTCGATTTCTCTAACCGTTAGAGATAGAAATTTGAAAATAAGCCACAATAAGTAGTATGACGCAAAATGTAGATTTTTAAAGAAATGTCAAATTTGAAAAAACTGCAGATTCGTAAACTTGCCATAGAGGTGACGATATGTCGTATTGAGGAATATGGTTTTTGTTATATTTTTATTATACTCGTAATCTTGTATTAGGTACTCATTTAGTATGTATTTTGATTTATTACTTGATGTAGGTATTACCATCTAATTAATATTCAATAAGTAGATTTATGTCATAAATACAAGATTTTAGTATAACACTAAAGTTTTTCCTTTGTAAAAAGTTACAGGTAGTGAATTTACAGGGTACAGAGGCATAATATTTTAATCCTTAGAAATGAGAAGGAGTCCTCAGGAATGGCAACGCATGGGGGGTATCATGGGCGAAACTGTATACTCTGTTATATCCATGGTACTATTCATGTTTATAGGTGACGGTTACCACTTTCCATTATTTATTTATAGGATCACCAACATAAGGTACAGCGACATTTCAATACAATACACTAGTGGATTAGATCTAACTGTTCTTACATTTATAGGCAATCACAGCATGCCTTGTGTTTGATAAATATTAAAATGGAATTAAATTATTAAATGTCATTAAATGAATAAAGATATTAACAAAATAAATAATGCAAATTGTGGTTAAATTATTTTAAATTATAAATAAATATAATGTAACGGTGAGGTACATCAACATTTTATTTTAGACATTAGGGCCGCCGTCAGCTCGTTTGCCATTTTATGTTGCATAAAAACAAGAAATGTAATAAAATTAGAATATTACAAATTAAGAAAGAGATAGAGAGATAAAGACGTAGATATGTCACCACTCAACTTAGGCAGGTAAATGGGTGTCATGGTAAGGTATTTTTTTTTTGTTGAAGCGTGAAATAGAAAAATGTGGTAGTATTGATTTAAAACACTAAACAATATGTCACGTATGTAAAATACATGAGTTTTCGTGATATATTCGTTATTGTAATAAAATTTTCTATTGTTTCTTCAGTTACAACAATAACAAACGACCAACCTTGAACTTCTAATACACTATTATATTTATTCGAGCCGTTAAACTGTATTACGATATAGTTGCCCGCGTAGGTAAGAATTTTTCACCCTTCCAATATTAAATGGACCTAAATGTAATAGGAATAAGGTGCTTTCGTTGGTTTTTTCATTATTGGCGCCAACGATACGAAGTTGGTTTACCCGTTGACCTATCAGTCACTTCACTTCGCACGTCGCGCGTTCCCGATGCGCACGCATACCGTGCGCCGTCTGTGCGGCAATCGTAAACCTTACACACTCGACAGTATTAAACACAGAATACCAATAAGTCGAAACACCCACTAGAACTGCAGTGGAATGTTATGAATTGATACGACCCGTTGTACGTACAAAGTGTTCGATAACATCCGACATCGATTTTACACTGGAACGGGCGAGCTTACTCGGCGAATGACGAGACGAAACAGTGTTGTGAATAATAAAAGCAAGTTTCAAAATTTGCGGTGATTTAACGAAAACTTACTGAGCTTTTGTTCGGGCCGTATTAAAAATAGTTCTATAAAACCCACGCGTACACGTAAACGAAACATGTGCTGGAGTATGATGCAATTGGTATCGCTGTGGATTTGAAACCTTATGTCGTGCAAGCTAATCGTATTATAGATATTTATATATAAAAAACGATGATGTGGCCTTCTTCACAAGCTAGCAAGATTCTGCTATTTTTGCTTCTAGTCATAATTGTATACTGCATTTATATGGATACATTCCTATTCCTGAGAATCCAGAATTACAAGATTGACTTATACGATCCTGTAGAGAATGCCACCCAACAGGAGTCGTCGACGAAGTCGGCGAAAGAACAACCGTGCTACGAAGATGTCACCTGGATACCGTGCACCATAAACCCTCTGTGCCATCCTACAGTCAAAGGCCTCATGGTAGACCACATAAACCATTATATTTACGGGCCACTATGTGCCATCGTTGATATAGGTCTAGGTATATCTGAGAGAATGTTATTTATTACGCCAAATATGATATCCTTCTTCCATGTATTTATAGCGTGCGTTGGTGCTAACTTATTAACTTGCCAGAATTTAGCTGCTAGAAGGCTAGGTATAGTTTTATTTCAATTGAGAATGTTTTTGGACGATTTAGACGGGCACGTAGCTAGAGAGAGGAAGCATATCAAGGGTGAGAGATCGGAAGTCGGCACTATGGGTTATTGGGTGGATGGGATATGTGATTTTATCGGTGTGATAGCTATGATGCTCGGTATATTAATTTATTTGAAGAATAATCCACCGAGAAGAGGATACAAAGGTACTCCGGTCAGTACTCTACCGTACCACCAGTTGAAAGAGATAAATTCAAGTGAGGATATTGAAAAGGAGCACACAGCGGAGATCGGTATATCGTATAAGACGAAAGTGACCTTCCAGAGGATTGTTCAAGTGATAGGATTGTTTTCTGGTCAAATGTTGTTATCTTCTTTAACGTGGAATCGTTATATAGATATATATCAGGATGTGCTAGAGAATTGCACTAATTATGACATAGTAAGAAGAGAGGCAGCGTTCAAATCGGGCATATTCTTTTTCGCCACCGCTTTATGGCGGATCGTGAATCCGCACAGTTATTTGCATTTATTGTCGCTGGCAGTGTTCTGCGATAAAACTTGGGTGTTTTTGAAAACTATACACTATAGTGGTTACTTGTGTTTGGTGGTCGCTGTGGCCACGTCGGAGTATCTTGTTGACGGTATAAGGACGTTTGTCATAAACGGTGTCGAAGGCTGATAGGGTAATTTTGGAAGTTTAAGACTATCAATTGTTAAGGATCAGTCTTGCCATGATAGTTTAAGATAGATATGGAACCTTGTTGAATTTGTCTTTGATAAATGAAAATTATATTTTAAACATAATGTTGAGTCAATAATGCTGTTTTTGTATTCACGGAATGCGTATGCTGTACAGTAAAGAGAGCAGCTGCTTCCAATGTATTGTGTGATTTTAAGGAAATAACAATAGCGCGGAAGCAATGTTCTGTTGCAAAATAAATAAATAAATTCTATAAAACAGCACTCTGTTATGTTATCAACCGTTTAATACAGTTATACATTTATTGATAACTAAATTACGGTTTATTGTGACCTCAATATGTACTGTACTTATTTGAGACACTCACACATATGTATTTTTTATTTTTATAAATTCCAAAAAATGGGAAACAGTATACTCTGTTATGTACATAGTACTGCTCATGTCTATAGGCGACGGTTACCACTTTCCATCAGGTGGAACATCAACTTTGTTTGCCATTCTAAGTTGCATAAAAAAAAATCAACTTTTTTCTCCGCGGTAAGCATAGGTTGTTAAACCTTGACACAATTAATTCGATCTCTTTAGTAGGTATATTGGCAATTTAGTCGATGTCGATGTAGGTTACACGAGGGTACCGTCAGCAATCCTTTCACACGCGCGAACAACAAAATCCCCTATAAGTATGTCTCTGTGTGTGTTATTTCGTCATAACCGTAGAATACTGACGAAATAACACACACAGAGAATCAGTACTCTACGACTATGACGATTAAATGGTGGCATTGTAGTATTACTCACAGCATATCGCATTTCGTGTGAAAAGCCGTTTAAAAGTAAACTTTATCTTCCATAACGACTTCACAATAATACTTAATTCGATAAATAGCTAGTTTGTACAATTTACAGGTTAATTGTTTAGATTAAAGTAGTTAGACATGATATATTGTTAAAGGCCTACGCAGACGGTCCTCGGGCATATTTATTTGTTAGTCGATCTCTTTGTACGTATAATATTGCATCGAAAAATCTTTAAAAAAGTATGGATGTCTCTCTCTATTGAGGATTATTTATTTCTCTATCAAATGTAAATTGGTATTTAGGTAAGTGTATGAATTACTCAAGTCATAGACGCAACTTTTATATCAGTAAAAAAGTAAAAGATACAAGTGTCTCAAAGATTATCTAGATCGTGTTTCTATATTGTAGGTATGATTCATGATATATGTTGTCATTTCGTCATAGTCGTAGAATACTGACGGATCTGACATAGATTACATATAAAGATCCGTCAGTATTCTACGACTGTGACGATATATGTATTTGATAATCTATGCTGTCTAATAGTAAATAAGAAAATGTAATCAAAAAATGGCTGTTAAGTTACGCAAGCTTTTGCTTACACAACAATTAACAGAAAATAAAAAAAAAAAAATTAACAGCCATTGTAACAGTGTCTCAGGTAGCAATGTGACGTCTGCGACCCAAATAAGACGTTAGTTTTAAATCATTTTAGAATCGGTGACTGAAAATCGACGTCAATATGACGTATAATTGCTACTGGTCACTGTATCTTCGCTTCCAAAGAAGGAATCCGACAATTTTTTGCTCATATCCGTCAACGTATTCAGACTACATATTGCGTCCAATGTCGGAACAATACAAACATCCGAAAAAAATGCTCGTTTCTTTTGAGAGTCGGGTAAAAAAGCCAAAAAAACCCCGGGGTCTGTTCCTAGTCTGCGTAGAGCACATGAGAGAGTATATTTCAATGTAAGCATTTGTGATATTATGAGCAAAGTGATTTATTCTGATCTGATTATCATGCGGACTCGAGAGTTGTACCTAAATAAATATAATATATTTTTTTATAAATAAATAAAATAAATATTGTAAAATTGTTAAACAATTTATCATAAAACAAAAAAATCTCTTACGAAATCGAGGAGTTACAGTTTTTTTTAAATTGTATTTTTAATTTAATTAAAAATGTATTTAAAAAAGCGGAAGATGATTTGATGAACAGAAATGGAATTTGAAATATAACTTAATCAACGTGATATTTTGTATTTTTTCTCTTTCATGATACGCAAATCATAATCATCATCATCACATCATCCTTTCTGTCCACTGCTGAACATAAGCCTCCCCCTTGAGGGGGTCTGCCAGTAGTTGTAGCGCTTGGCAGACGGATTGGCATGCGCAGTTAGGCTTTAGAGATGTTTTAAGAGGGACACTTTTGCTTATCTTTCGCTCACCCTTAGTCGGCTTTTACGATACTTACGGGAAAGGAAGGGGTAGCCTATTCTATGCCTGGACCACACGGCCAGATGGATACTGAACTATATGTTCAAAGAGTGTACTAAGAATATGGAACCTTACTAATGTTTTAAATGCGAAAGTGTGTTTGTTTGTTACTTCTTGGCTTAATCACTCGTTGTTTATTTATTTAGGTCTACCAACTATTGTTTTTTTAATGGATGATAATGGAATGGTAACCTCGCCTGCGCTATCGGGATACGCTGGCAGGGCACCAGTGAGGGATGACAGGTGAGGATGAAAAGGCAGGTCAGTTAGCCCATCGTGACGAATTCCACTAGAATTAACCACGACGGTTTCCAGGGAGAACCGCGTGGTGGTCGACCTGATAGAGTGTATTGCTAGCAATGGGTCAATTAGCCCCCATTACTAACAATCCCTTTCTCCCCTACCAACAATTGTTTCCACAAGATAGTGTACGAGGTCTGTCCGGAAAGTTCGTATAAAAGTGTTCTGGAATGCGAGAAAGAGGAGTGGGGAGGCCAGGTAAGCGCAGGACCCCTTCCTTATGTCCCTAACAATGCTTCAGTTCTGGTCTGACCGCCGTGCGGTGCGAACTGGCTTGTCACGCCATCTGTGAAGTTACCTCTTAACGAAACCTCGTCGGCATGGAGCCCGCTTCCGTTGAAGAGCAGCGCGTCGTAATCAAGTTTCTCTCGAAACTCGGCAAGAATGGCCGTGAAATTTTTGCCGATCTCAGAACAGTTTATGGGGATGATGCTGTGAAGGAACCAACCGTCCACAAGTGGCTAAAAAGATTCAGAGAGGGCCGAGAAAGCATCAAGAATTCGTCCCTCCAGGCCAGACAGTTGATGGAAAATTCTACGTCGATGTGCTCAGACGTCTCAAAGCTCGTGTGGCACGAGTTCGTCCAGAATTGGCGCGAGAGGGGCGTTGGATTCTTCACCACGACAATGCCCCTGCCAACACCTCTCTTGTTGTCCGTGAGTTTTTGAGTAAAAATTCCATTACGGTGACCGAACACCCCCCCTATTCGCCGGATTTGGCCCCGTGTGACTTCTTCTTGTTCCCAAAAACCAAATTGGTACTTCGGGGGCGGCATTTGGGGGACATAAATGAGATAAAAAAAGCTACGACGGGGCAGCTGAGAAACCTACAACCAGAGGACTTTCAAGGAGCCTTCTCACAGTGGAAACGGCGTTGGCACAAGTGCATTATGTCACAGGGGGAGTACTTTGAAGGGGATAAAATTGATTTACCTGAATAATTGTAAAATAAAATTTTTAAAAAACTTTTATACGTACTTTCCGGACAAACCTCGTATATATTTATACAACCATGGAGCTTAGAACTAAGTGTAACATGTTTTTTTTTATACGCAAATACAGCATATATTGGGGAGAAAGAGATTATTACTAATGGGGTTTAACTGCCTCATTGCTAATAATATACCCTATCAGGTCGACCTCCATGCGGCTCCTCCTGGAAAATATTGTGATTAATTCTTTTGGAATTCATCACGTTGTGCTAACTGATCTGTTTTCATCGTCACCTATAATCTTTCAGTGGTGCCCCGTTGGCGTATACCGGTATAGCAATATATATATATATATATATATATATATATATATATATATGTATATATCCTGGTCACATGGACGAAGTCACGCTTAAAAGCTACTGTACTAGTAATTAGATTGGACCTAACCCAAACAGCGACCTCAGGGATACCGCTGGCATGTGTCAGATCGATCGGGCAATTACAGTCCAATTGGCCCGCCCACAGCACTCAGACTCGCTCGATAGGTCCCGACAATTGACCCAATCAACTATATTAATGATTCAATTTTGCATACATTTTTTCTACTGAGAATGTGAATCGGTGTATTTTTTAACCACGAAGATGACTTATTAGAATATTGCTTGTCAGATGGTAAACGGTTACTGTAGCCAATGAATGCGTGCAACACTAGAACCTGCAGGGGTGTCACGTGCGCTTTGCTGATCCAGATGATTGATGATTGGATTATGGATTAGGCCTGCTGAACTGCCTTCGTCTTCATCGATTTGGGTCCCTGCTATTTTATGTCGATAGCGCAGGCGGAGTACCATCCCGATATCATCTATTAATAATTAAGACTGTCTTCCACAAAAAACTGGCTTCAGTTGTGGTAAAACAGTTGTTTTGATTTAAAAATTAAAAATGAAAACGATTTTGAAAATTTCGATTTTATCAGAGGGAGACAAAAGTCGTTTGCTTGGGTACCTCTATTCTATTCGTGTTTCAACCGTAGAGCAGTTGTGTTTGCATGGCTGTGTTTCGGTTTGAAGGGTGGGATATGGCGTGAATTTACAGGGTACAGAGGAATAACACCTGAGTCCTCAGGAATGGCAACGCATAGGGGGTATCATAGGTGAAACAGTATACTCTGTTATGTCCATGGTACTGCTCATGTCTATAGGCGACGGTTACCACTTTCCATCAGGTGGGCCGTCAGCTTGTTTGCCATTCTAAGTTACATAAAAAAAAATCTATGGATAAATCTCTAAGGGCGTAAGGGTAATCTTTTCAGGTAAAAAAAGAATAGAAAAAAATTGTAACTGACGGAATTACGAGGTTATAAACATAACCTATTTTTTTTTAAATCGGCCAATAATTTTCACTCTTGGCTGGCGGGTTGGCAACCGCAGTTAGGCTTTGGTGATGTTTTAAGAAGGACGCTCCTAGCCATCCCTCGATTGTTAAATATCCTTAGTCGCCTCTTACGACACCCACGGGATAGGAAGGGACTGAATTATAGCTATCATAATAAATAAAATAAATAAAAATAAAAATAGCCTTTATTCCTGAATTACAGATTCTTTTTTAAATTGTAAATATGTATAAATAATTAATGTTGACATCAGCAACATCTTATTTTTCAGGTTGTTCTAGAACATAGGCCTCCTCCATATTTCTCCATTGGTAACGATTCCTTGCAGCTTGTCTCCAGCCTTTGGGCAAGTCATCCTCCCATCTTCTTCTTGGCCTACCTCGGTTTCTTTTTCCATCACGTGGATACCACTCAATTAAATCTTGGGCCCATTTATTTTTTGATGACCTCATGATATGCCCAGTCCATCGCCATTTGAGCTTTTTTATTTTAAGAGTCACATCTGTAATGCCAGTTCGTTTTCGAATATAGCTATCATATTGTTATCAAAATAGTATAAATATGTCTATGTATGGCTTAGATGTATGTAGTTCTACAGATAACGACTGTCATACGTGTCCGTCCACTTGTCTATCATCGTGCTACTTCTGTTGCAGGCAATTTTGTAAACTGTATATGCAACGAGAAATTACGTAATATTTTTAATGCAATTTAAAATAGAAAACAATTTGACAGCCCACTTGATAGAAAGTCAGGTTCCATCAGGTGGGCCGTCAGCTTGTTTGACATTCTAAGTTGCATAAAAAAAATCTATCGCCGAATGTATGTATTTTTTTTTATACGACTTAGAATGGCAAACAAGCTGACGGCCCACCTGATGGAAAGTGGTAACCGTCGCCTATAGACACGAGCTGTACCATGAACATAACAGAGTATACTGTTTCGCCTATGTTACCCCCCATGCATTGCCATTCGTGAGGACTCAAGTGTTATTCCTCTGTACCCAGTAAATTAATGCCATATCCTACCATTCAAACTGAAACACAACCATGCAAACACAATTGCTTCACGGTAGAAACACGAATGGGACAGAGGTACCCAAGTAATCGACTTTTATACAAAGTCTCCCTCTGGTGAGTTGGAAACTTTGTACAAAAGTCTCTTTCCCTATAGGCATCACTTCAGAACAGCTGTACCCATTTGGTAATTTTTTTTATTGTTATGTTTCTAATTATCAGGACAATGTTTGTATGGAAGAAAATGTATGAAAATTTTTGATTAAAAATAGAAGATTTGGTTAGTACGACTTTGCAAAGAGAGAACAGGCAGCTAGTTAAAAATTAAAATAATAAGGCTTTTGATAGTTTTTAGAAATTTATTTTTCTTTTCGATTCTCTTTTCAATTCGGTTTTATTGGGGGGAAAGGGATTGTTAGTTATGGAAACTGAGAATCCCATTGCTAGCAATATACCCAACCAGGTCGACCTCCTCGCGATTCTCCCTGGAAACTATCATGGTTAATTCCTGATGAATTCATCATGATGGGCTAACTGGCCTGTTTTCATTCTCATCTATCACCCTTCACTGGTGCTCCGCTAGCGTGTCCCGTTAGCGCAGGCGGGGTTACCATACCATTATCATCCATCAAAAAAAAATTCGGTTGTATTGTTTTTGTTAGTTTCATCATAACTTCGTCAATTATAAATCGATTTGGAAAATTCTTTTTTTTTATCTAAAAATATATGTGTACTTTCAGATTGGTCCTATGTATATTAAAATATCAAATCGGTTCAATAGTTTTGCCAGAATTGAATATGATTGTTTGGTAATAATGGTTTTTTGTGAAACATAATTTTTATTTAATTTGTCTGAAACATCGCATCGTAAATTATTGGCTACTCGTATTTTAATTTCCCAAATGGTCTACCCCACCTGTTATTAAAGTCGTGAGCATATTAAATACTAATTAATTAAGTACATTATCATGTGTGTCCTTTCCCGTGGGTGTCGTAAGAGACGACTAAGGGAATTATATGTTCGAGGGACGAGCAGCAGCGTTTCTCTTAAAACATCACCAAAACTTAACTGCGGTTGCCAATCCGACTGCCAAGCATGGCAACTACTGG